AAGTAATAATCCCTATAAATATAATCCGACATTGAAGATTACCTTTAAGCTGTGGATTATATACTTCTAGGCCACAGACACTGTCCCAAATCGGTAACTATTTTTGCCTGGTCTCGAAAAGGATATGACATGGCACTTTAATCCCCTTTAAGCCCTATGAATCGTGCGTTATCTGCCATCGGGCGGACCTAATGAAAAGCATTTGCCCTCTCGCACATAATTCAGATCATTAGTCCTGGCCCGCTTACTCACTTTCTCCTGCTTCTCCTGCTCCTGCTCCGGGATCTCATCCTTCGCCTGTCAACCGCATTTACCTTTTATGGCCATGGGCTTGGCGAATCAGAATCACGTGACTCGCCCATTTTTATTGGCAATGCGTTCGAGGCGCGGGTGTGTCAGTCAGCTTTCCCCGAGATAGAGGCAGCTGAGAGGTTAAGGGGAGCATAAATCAGTTTTAATAGTGCAGCTGGGAGCTGGCCTCTTCGCCAAAAATAATATATAAGCAGCAACATGAAGTAACGTGAGACAAGGTGGCGGGTATACGCATATGGGACTTAGCAGCCCGTTTAATGAGATTTCCAGGCGGAAGAGAGCAAAAAGCGAAACCAATTTTATTTGCCATTTCTGTCAACAGTTCGCGATGGCTTTTGTTTTGTGTTTTGTTTTGCTGCTTTTCTGGGATTGCTGGCAACATTTTTACTGTCGCATTACGTGCAACATTTGCCCGTTGATTGCTTTGGGTAGAGGAATCCTGCTACTGCCACTGCTCCCTCTCCAGACCCACCCCCGGGGCATTGCATAAATTTGTCTAGCTGCTGGCTTTACAATTTATGCGCTTGTGGCGCCCCAAAATGTGGCCGTGGCTCTTTTGTCGGCTTGCCGAAAATTTGCTAAAATACAATCCGAAATAACATGCCGGCGAGCGCAAAAACTTTTGGCCATAAAGCACATGTGACTACCACCACCACATCTGTATGTAAGCAGCTCCAGCTCATCGTTGCGTATGCGTGAATTTACCAAAATATATTTGTTTATTTTGCAGTTATGTACAGCGTACATTTTGGTTGGATTATCACGCTTTAAGCTTTCAGATTTCAGCTCTCTGGGTTCCTCCGCCTGACAAAATCTTTGCCCCATAAATCATCACAGAGCTGAATGCTGAGAGTCGCCGGCGATAAGGGCTCAGTTTTTCCAAAGGCAAGCTAAATGGTTGAGCTTTATAAAAAATGTAAAGTGTTTTTTCTTTGGCTCTTTTGATAAATTAACCCTTGAGGTATGCCAAACATAATGCATTAGGTAGACCTAAAAGGAATCATCGTGGTTTTAAATGTTGGGGTCAAGTTTAAATGGACGACATTCCCAAGAAAATTTTGTCTGATACTGATTACAGGAGAGGTATTTTATTTAAATATAATTTTAATTTAATTTTATTTTTAAATAAACACCAAAATATACCCTTAAAGTGCATATTACCTTCGTCTTCGCCTTTATCGCATCGGATGTCGCAGGACCTCTGTTTCCCGCTGTCCTCTCCGGAGGCCGGACCCAAATGTGACCCGTAATTGCTTTAAATGCCATTACGACACTTACGCACAGCACGACCCTAGCTGGGATCTGGAAGCTCGTAGCGCGGATACCCAGATAACCCGGATGCCTCCTCGACGGATGGCGCTGTCCACGGTTCGTGTCTGGCTGCCGGCCAGATTTGGAGGGCCAAGGGCAGACTTTAATTTCCCTCGTCGGACTCTCTGCGCCTGCAATTGTTTTCTCTTTAAATAATTAAATTAAAGTGGGCAGTCAACTGATTGAAGGAGCCTCCGCTGGCTGCCGCCACTCGATGCAATTGTTTTCGGCTAGGGAACTGGCAAACGAAGAACCAAGAGAACTGGGAACTGAGAACTAAGAACTGAGAGCTCGAGCGAAAAGTGGGGCCAACGAACTCTAACCTGGTGCAATCAGCGTAATTAAGGCAGCGCAACGGCAATCGCCGTGGATGGCTTATAAATCATTTATTGCCAAGACATTATCGCCATCGACTCGGTGCACGTAGAGAGGAGCCCTCTTTCCGTACGCCAAGAACTCGTTTCGCGCAAATTATGCTACGGAACGCGTTAGTCTATGACAGATTGTATCTGCCAGATACACCGCAGTCGAGGTGACTGTGGATGTAGCTAGCGACGTGGCAGCACAGCTTCTATGAACATGCAGCACGTAGCCGCGGTGCCAATTTATGGCCAGGCTAAATTCTAAACGAGTCAGCTATCCTCCGACTTTTGGACTGGAGTCAGTCGGTGATGGCCCAGCTGGTTCCTCGCTTGGTTAGCCTGGCCAACATCTTGTGCAAATCCCATTTCCCCCACCTACTCCATCTCATTTATTTGCGGCTTCGGATGGAGTCACATAGCATAGCAGAGCATACGTGTCAATATATGCTTGGGCCCTGGCAAATGCACTTTTGATATATTGGCTCCGGGCTTATTGGTTTTCCATCTGGCGCACATCATCGCCTCTGGTGGATTACCAGGGAGGAGCAAGGCGGGGGCACTTTGATTTGCGGCCTCCTATAAATTTCATCGCGTTTGACATGACAATCGAGAGATGTCAACAGAAGGCAGGCGCCAAGTTACAAACCGCCTGGTAATGGGATACGATACCCGCACATGGATCACACCTCCTTGGGGCATGCAAAGCTGCCTCTTAACTATACCAGATATGCAAATACATCTGGCTCTTGATAAATTACTTACTGAGTTATTTTTTAAGGGGTTTGAGCTACTTTTATAGGGTTCTAAAAGGGGTTTTATGGCGTTTAGAAAGGGTTAAGAAAGGGGGAAAGGGGGAAATACATGAAAACACTAGATATTATCTAATTTATTAAGATAAATTGGTATTATTTTAAAGCCTTATTATTATATATATGTAATTTATCAACCTAAATTTTACTATAATGCATAGTAAATATAATATTCCTGTTTCCGAGGGTATCCCATCTTCGAGAGAACCGGAGTTAACCACAAATCACTGCTAACATGTTTGACAATTGTCGTTGGATAACGGCTAAATCGCCATAAAAGTGGATTACGGCCATATAGAGGGCTCTCTTGCCTTGTATTACCATGGCTGCTGTGGTTGTGGCCTGGACCGGCTTGGCTTGGCTTGGCTATGATCTCGCTGGGGCCTAGTCCTGGTCCTGCTCTTGGTCCGGTGTTGAAATAGTTTAAGGCAATCTGCAGACGGGATTTGTGGCCAGCTCGTCGAATAATACCGCCCGGGACCGATTGCAATCTGGAGCTGTGTACATAGACATTCATCCATATATATACATGTATATATATATATATATATATATATATATATATATATATATATTCATGTGCCATGACATTCTTGTACATGAGTCATAAATAATGTGCAACGGCATGGCCATGGCCAACGTCACCCAGACGTGACGACGCCTCCTTGCCCTTCGGCTCCTCCTCCTCTAGAGGCAGTAAATATTTTGAGGAAAAATAATTTTGCCAAGTTAATTTGCCATTTCCGGCGACGGCTGCTGTCAGCTTCCGTTTTGGCAGGAGAGGAGCCGGAGCCACAGTTGCACCTGAGAGTATGCCTAATTGAATTTCGCATTTGGTCGAAATTAACGGGGAGTGCTAGAGAAGAGCCTGTTTTTCAGTCAGTCACATTTTTTCTGCACTTTATTTTGGGCACTTTGAGACAGACAGGGGTCAGTTCGGTTGGGAACTTTGCATTCTGTGCGTGCCAATGTCTGCGCACTTGAAATTGCCAATGGGGGATGAGGCTGTTGGCACTGCTGCCTGTCCCTGTCCCTGGAACCAGACCCATGCGTCTTCCAGTGGCGCACTGAACGTCAAAATGCGGCCCCGTTGCCATAAAATTGCCTGAATTTAGCGCTAGGTTGCCGCCGTTTCTCTAGCCCATCTCCAGTGCCTGGCAGCGGTCCAGCCTAGTCTCCGTCTCCGTCTCCGACTACGACTACGACTATGACTATAAGCTCCCTTCCCAGTTGGCATCGCCATCTCCATCTGCGTCAAGTGTCTTTGCTCTGGGCTTGTTAATCTACGAGTGGCTGCCTCTGCTCCTGTTGTTGCTTCCTGGTAGTGGCTGTAGCTCCTCGGGCTTTGTTTTCATTACCGACCAAGTCCACATGGCGGCCTATTAAATGCAAAATGTGCAGACAGCCAGAAAGACAAACGGTCCCCTGCTCCTCCCTAGAAACTGGCCACCACTGTCATGAGAATTAAATATGCAGCGAGAGGAGCTGCCCAGCTCCCTCCCATGGCATGTGGCCGGGTTATTAAAGTTAATTACAATTTTTCATGGCATTCGTTTTCTTTTTTCCCCTCCCTCTCTGCGGCTCGTAACGATAACTCAGAGTTTTTTATGCCGTGTCCTTGGTTTTGTGGCGATTTTTCCACTCTATTAATTTTCGCGTTGATTTATTTGCGGCATCGGCATCGCGTTGCCTTTGCTTCCTTTGTTTACAGATTGCACAAGCGGCAGCGATCGCCATGTGGGCTAAATTGAAACCGAATCGATGGGAGTCGCTGTGCTGGGACTGGGCCTGGCCATTTTCTCGGGGGAAAATCCAGAAGAGGAGCAGCAGCAGCCAACACGCAGCTGGGCTGGGCTGTGTTCCGGGCATGCTGTTTCTATTAGATTACATGAAAAGCTCTTTGATTATCTGCTGATGATAGTGATCGATGCTCGAATTAAACGGCGAGAGATGAAAGCCGCCTGTGATCTCGTTCTGGGGCATTGAATGCAGATAACCAGGCATCAGAGAGGGGAAAGCATAGCTGGGAAACTGTAGTTATTATTAAAGAAATGTGTTTAGGCTGTAAGTAGGCACTAGGAACCATATTAATGGTGCAGTTTCCATTTTGAGATTAATGTTTCTTCTTATTTAATTATCTTTTAATAGTTTCTTAGCTAAAAACACATAACTCATTACCATTTCCCTTTTCTACTTTCTCCCTCAGCTGAAAGCGACCTGCTCACCTTTGCACAGCGCAAGCAGCACTTCGAGACTGACAAGTCATTCCAGGAGCAGCTCTTCACCGGCGATACCCGGCCTCTGAGCGTGCGCCAGCTGTACACGGAGGCCGGCAAGGAGCTGCCGGCGCCTGCCATTGCCACGGCTGGAGCCCTGGCCTCTCTGGCCCACTCTCAGGCCTTGACCCCTCCAAGATCCATCTCCTTCAACGGCGAGGTGCTGTCCAGCGATCACGAGATCCTGCAGCTCAATGGATCCGCTTCGGCGGAGGATCAGCTGCTGTGCGTGTCCGAGTTCGGCAATGCCAACCGCAAGCTTCGGACGCGCATCGATGCCGAGATCGAGATACGTTTGGTGAGTACAGGGAACGGGGGTAACTACTGGTTGCCAGGTAACTGCTTACTGCTCCCGGGTAACTGGCCACCGTTAGACGTCTCTTGGAGTTATGCTTGAAGTTATGCGTTATGCATAAATAATAAACCAGACTGGACCGCAAACTATGACGACCTCGTCGTGTGTGGCTGCCACCACCCATTCCATTCCATCCCATCCCATCGCCAGCTGTGTTGCCTCCGAAAGCTAATGCCAAAACCCCCTTCTTCTGCCGGCCAACTGTCGTCCCAGCATTTGCTCCACAAAGCCGCACGGCACCCAATCATTGTCATGGCTGCCGCTCGGAGCTGGTGGTGATGATGATGATGAGGAGCCAGGAACGTGTGGAACGAGCAAACAGAGACCACACACAGTCCCAGCTCCATCAGGCATCTGCTAATGGCCAACTAGGAGCAGCCGCTCGTGGCATGACTCCATCAGCGGCCGCAGCAAATCATTTCGAGTTAGTTGGCTCGCTTTAATTGCTCAACAACCGACGTCCCACGCCATTGTGGCTTTGCAAACTATGAGGCGGCAGTTGGGAACTACTTACAGCCGGCACTTGGCTGGCATAAATCCATTGAATCGTGACAGTTTTATTGGGAACTCTTAATTAGACATACTTTGGGGAATTTTAAAGGGTTACAAAGCGATAGGAATACTTTAAGAGTATCAGAACCTTGTCTCAACCTCTTTATCCTTTTGAACACAACAGATTTTCTTAGTCAACGAGCTCTGTTTTCTTCAATTGAAAAGGATATATAAGTATTCCGGATTTCATTTCATTTATTTTCCATTGCACGTCGCCAGCTCTTTGAGCTCATATCAGAAAATTGCAGTTAATTTGAGCTAACGCGCTTCACAGTCGTCCCATTTAGCCGGCGTCCTCGTCCGCGTCTTTGTCGTCTCTTGTTTATCTTTTAGCCAGGCCATTAGATAAGCTGTGCAAAGACAAACAGCCAGCGGGCACAGACAACTGCCAATGGCCAATAGCTGCAGACGACGACGAGGATGGCTGGAGCAAGAGCAGCCACATCTCGGATCCCTGTTCAATAGGTTGCCAAACTTGTTTTGGCAAAAACAACGTCGGCTGTCAATCGCAGTCGACTGTCGCCAAACCGCCTCACACCACTAGTTCCCAGTCCCCAATTCCATTTGACGGCTGGCTCCAGCTTTAGCTCCAGGTCCATTGCCATCCTTCTGTCGTCTGCTCCTTAATAAAGTGACTTTTAATCCTTTTCGCATTGCGTTTGACGCTAGTTAGCCGCAGCATTCCGCTCTGATACACCCCAAAGAGATCGCCGAGAGAGGAGACGCAGAGGAGTATCTTGGACGTCGGCCTGGCCATTAGCGCTCTGCGGTTTATTGGCTACGGCAGCAACTATCTGCAAGATGGTCAGGAACGACGGGCCCATGGCTGGGTGGCTGTTGTTGACGGCACTTAAATTGCATTATTATATACGGCTCGACATTTATGTGCAAATATTTTATCGTTAAAAGTTGGCCACTGTGGCCCCGCTGCTGCCAAAGAAATTTAGCTGCTTCTGAGGAAAAGGAGAAAGAGCCCAGACCCAGACCCAGACCCAGATCCAAATCCGGATTCTGGCTGTTTTTACGGTCCGAGCTGCCTCACTTTGGCCATTGGAAATCTAGCTCAAGTGCCTTTTTATGTAGATTTCGGTGGTGTGGGTGGCTGGGAATTTTCTTGTGGCCCCATCCCGCAGATATTGTTCAATTGCTACAATTGATTCGAGCCTTGGATACCGAAAATCAAATGAAACGATTGCGCTTTTTCTTTATGCGCGTAATTCACTTAAGAACGTCAGACAATTTCGAATCTGGGGAATGTTTTCCAACAGACAGCGAAATGAACACTGAAAAATCATTGAACCTTGATTCGAAACTAGACCAGAGCAGCTCGTCCATTGCCCTTTTTTAATGCTACCCTATCTAGCTGGCCCCGCTGTCTGCTTGCCTTTATTGTTTTTAATTAGACTGATTGAATTTCGATTCGGTAACGGAGCTCTGTCGAGCGCGTGCTCGCCCCACACATCCTGCCACATTTTCGGAAGATTTAAAAATCGCATGTCCCGCCGCCATTTGCGGAAAGCATAGAGAGTGTGTTTGCGCAAACATGGCGCAGAGTGGCAGCTCGCATTTCTCATAAAGGGATGTTCGTGACAGGTGGCCTACCTACCTCCTGGGCGACTAATTAAGGACCGACCTGTTATAGGCCCTGGGCAACATGAAGCATACATATCGCCGGAACATAACACAATATATATTTTTGCATGCCAAATGCTTAATTAACCCAATGTTTTAACTCTTTTTTTCCATTTGCTCGTTCCACTTTCAGCCCGCTGCCATCGAGGATCTGCGAAAGTGGACATCCAGCGAGGCGCTGGGTGATGTCACCGTCACGCCGGATTGCATGCATCACGTGGACACCTCGGTGAGCACCTCGCTGGTCATTGGGGATAATGGCGTCCTCACGCCCGCCCTCTCTCCGTCCGTCCTCTCCGCCGATGCCGTCGACGCCCTATACGCGCAGAATCTGAGCCAGGCGGCGGACAGCTCCCATTCCCACAGCCACCATCGCCAGCCCCAGCACCAGCTGCCCAACGATATCAATAAAGATGTGCCTTTGAACCATCGCTTGCCTTCACCCGAGGAACAAACCAAACAGATTGCCTTAAAGTGAGTATTATTTATGTAAGAAAATGAAATTTAAGTAATTAGTTATTTTACCAACTAATTGCCAAGTATAAGCACAATTCTATGTATATCTTGGGGAACTTCTAAAAGTGTGTAAACTAAACTAAGCTCTAAGTATACTTCTCTTTATCAACCGTTTTCAAAACACTGTGTCTGGTCTCTATTTCCTTCTTCTTTGCTTAAATTCTATTTTGCTTAAATTCAAAAACACTGTTTTAATGCGTTTTTTATGCAAATCTCGCGGCAACTATTGTTTGTTTGCTTTGTGTTTCATGACGCACAAAAAGAATAGCCATAAAAACGGCTGTTTGTTTTTGTTATACAATTTTTCAACGTTCGATTGTCTGCGTTTCGGGGCACGAGATGTTTGCTCAGCGAGCGCATCGGGCGAAAAAAAGTTTAAATAAATTAATTCAATTACGTATGAATATTTACAACGCGGCCGCACAATTATGCAAGTGTCGCCGACCCCTCGCCCTGTCCATTTGGCCCCCCGATGCAGCCAATCCATTGGCCCATTCATTGGCCCTGGGGCACGCCCCGCCGACGTGGCTGCTGTCCCGGCTCCATGGCTCATTTGTTGGATTCGACTCCGAAATGGAGCAGCCACAGACGAGAGCCGTGTTCACGCTCCACCGATTTGGAGCACGAAATATGTGGCTGGCGTATTAAAGCGTAAACAAATTGTTGTTTGGATAACCACAAAAGTGCACTCCAAACTGTGTGAGGCTCGCATTCCCCCTGTAAATCGATCTGGCCACAAAAAATATATGCATACATGTATACTAGCACTGAGGAAAATGTATTTGCATTTGAATTAAAAGGGGGGTGTCAATAATAGGTATATATTACTATTCCTATCTACTCAACCAGTTTATATCCCCATCTACTTAGAACTATTTAGAAGACATAAATCCCTAATATACCCACTACTTAAACCAACTAAGAAAGTAAGCAAAAATGACAGATTTAAAGAGTTTTTGAAGTATATTTATCGTTGGAAAATGGTTTATTCTTATAAAAAATAATCCCCACCTCTTAAGTTTACCCAATAAGCATGATTAATTGCGCCACCAAACTAAGATCTTTGCATTATCCCACCCACAACAGATACCCCGCCGAAGTGATTTCGGTGAACACCAGCGGCAAGCACTTCCAGCGGATGTGTGCGGCGCGCAAGTCAACCAGCGGATGCTATGCGGCTGGAACCGCCACCGCCGCCGGCTCCTCGAGCAGTGCCTCGCCGGAGAACGGGGGCCAGGCGGAGGGCAACAACCTGGACGACAATGTGCAGACGGTCAGCCGGCGGTCAAGGTCGCGCAAGGTGCGTGGCAAGCGGCGGAACACGATAGCCGGGATCGATCAGAAGGAGATCCAGGACGCGGCCAATGGGTATGTACAAGAGTCTTTCGCCAATCTCCACCCCCCCGTTACTTCTCCCCCACTTTCGTTCGCCTTCCGAACTGTGTACATAAGCCATACTAAGCCTACTGTACATACATTCCGCCCATATCTGCGCGGATTCCATATATCGTACTCCCACTTGCATTTTCTTACGAGATTATTGTGATCAGCCACGTCAGCTGAGCGATTTGTTATGCTGTTTAGTTTTCTTCGTTTCCTAGTTTTCGTGTATTTTAATTGCGCCTTTTATTGTTTAAACAAACGCCTAGCGGACTGTACAAATCAGAGCTGTGATCTGCCCATTAACTACCTGCCGTATATATACTATATCTATATTGTTTGCCAAATAGCAGCACAAATGCATGCCACAATCGAATGTGTCTAAATTACAAACTAAAATTGAATGTTGTACAAAAAGAATTGTAAATAAATTGTGTTACTAGCCGTACGTAATTAGAAAACTTAGCAAAATTTAAATACTTTCAGCTGCCTCTTTTGCGAAATTGTTTTCGAAAAAGCCTTAACGAAGCGAGTCTGCAAAAACAGCCTAACAAATTAATCGATTTTCAGCGCCACATTATGTATCTATCTACCTATCAAAAACTATCAAATTCCTGAACAAAGTACATTCATCCCATACACATACAAGCACACCTCACGTACACCTCATGATCCATCCGAGACAGTCACCCCCGCGTGCATAGATACATCCTGGCCTCGAACCACCCACACAGCTTGGCAACATTTGTTGCAGCAACAACACAGCGAGGGCAACAACCAGGCAACCGCAGTGCAACATGCCGCCTTTTTGGCCAAGTTAAGTCAAGTCGGTCGCCGGTCGCCCGTCAGTCAGTCATTCGGCCCACTCTCGGGCATTTCCCTACCGCCGCCGCTGCCGCTGCCTGCGCATCATCAGCATAAATCATGCGAGAGGCTGGCTGTGTCTCCATAGGATTTGCCCAGGCACGATAGCAGCACCGTCGAGATGTTTTTGTTCGGGCCTCGATGCCTTTTCCTGTGCCTTTTCAAATGGCACACACGACGCCTTTTGCTAAAAGTTTCATAAATCTTATTTTGTTTTGTTGGCCCTGCTTCTTGGCTCTGGTTGGCGTCTGCCCACCAGCTCCGTCTTCGACTGCAACTCAAGCCCAGTCCCGAGCTCGGAGACGGCGTCATTCCATTTGACTGCGCTCCACATACAACATATATAGGCAACATGAAACCCTAACTCAGCCACACACTCACTCCACGCTATGTGTACGTATGTATGCCCCATTATGTCAATGCTGTTCAATATCTGTGCGATCAGCAGTCGAAAATGCGGAGCAAAGCGAAAACTTTGAGCCCCCGTCCAGTAGTTGTCAAACTGTAAGTGCATTTCGTGATTTTTTTTAGTACACATAGAGAAAAGGGTAGGAAGTTGTTTACTAACAAGCGATGTCCCAGAAGTGATATGGTATTTATAATCACTTTAAAAACTTTTTTTTTAATTTTAAATTCTTAAATAAAAAAAGTTACATCTTAATGTTAATTTTATTAAATGTAATATTTTGGGTTTTGATGGAGTCATTTCCGACCCTATAAATCATACGTATTTCTTGATCAGCATCAAAAACAGAGTCGATCTAGCCTTGTTTTGCAAAAGGTTACATCGTTAAAATTGTCAAAAATTTACAAAAAATTTAATTTCTTAAATTTTTTAATTCATTTTGGCATTTTGGGCTTAATTAAAAATTCTACATTGTTCATGTCTTAATTTAGATAAACAGAAAATTATCACAGATTCGTAAAATATCTATTTTCTATGGTAATAATGAAAATATTATAATTATATAATTTAATTAGTACATTAAAAGTTACTTGTAAATCCAATTTTTAACCGTTAGTTCCCAAACCCTTTCTCGCTGTGTACAAAAATTGAGATTCAGTGGAAATCTTTTAGCAATGACTGCACTTTGGGCCTCCCACTCCCAACAAATCCCCTTGATTCAACTTGTTTACTGGCCCAGAATCGAAATGAGTCGAATTCTTATCGCCAATATTGGCCCCTCCATCCCTCGCTCGGTACCTCCCCGCATGCTTTTTTGGGGGGAAGAATTCTGGGAGAAATACCCACTCGTACACTCGAATATTTAGATGTTGTTGTAATCGCCACTAATAATCCACGGAGCAGCAGCCTCGGAAAATGAAAAATATAAATGTATTCGGGAAAATTAAACTTTGAACTGTGCCATTAATTAATTTCCACACTGACTGTTGTTGTTCCATTGCTCGTGTGTGTGTGTATGCATCTGAGTGTGCGTGCGTGAAATTAACCAGAACCAGAAACATAAACCAAAAATCAGATCTGAAAATCGCTCACAATAATTTCCATAGAGGAAGGCAGTGTGTACTACACTCTGAATCTCAGAATCTTAGAATCTACGAATCTCTTATCTGTGTCTCTGCCTCATTCCCCCACATACCACATCTGTCTCATCCATTCATCATTACCAAAATGCTAACCGAATACCAAACATATTTTCTTTTTTATGTTCTCTCCTAAAAAAAACACCAAACATTTGCACAAAAAATATCCAAAAAACACCCGAATTATTCCACCATGTAATACAGCAACGGGGAGTCCAAGAACGCCTCGAATGCCACATCGCCGGTGGCGCCGGTGCACCAGGCTGCCACCGCCGCCGCTGCCTCTTCAGACGCCAAGAAGTCCAAGAAGTTCGGACGCAGCAAGTCCAGCGACATCTTAAAAAAGGAATCTGCTGCCTTGCCCTACGACAAGGGCAAGAGCACGCTCACCCGGCTCAACTCCCTGAAGCAGTGGGGCCGCAACCGTTTCAAGTTTATGCAGCGCGCCGGCGAGCTGGGCGACCAGCTGGACACCAGCGGCTGCAGCTCGCAGAACAGTTCGGCGGAGAAGGCGGAGCATGGATCGCCAGCGGGAGAGGCGCCCAAGCGGGACATCGACGACGAGTGTGTGGTGCACCATTTGGTGGCCCAGAAGAGTGAATCTCGGTTTTCGCACGAACGAAAGCCCTCGTATTCCTCCTCAGAGAAGAGCATGAGTGTGTCCAGCAGTGGTCAGCTGAGGGGCAGGCTGCAGCTCTCCTCCGCCACCGCTTCCGGTCCGCTCGGAGCGGCAGCGCACGTGAAGATGCGGGAGACTGCCACGCTGAACAGGCAGCGGCGCAACGGTCTCCACGCTCTGGCCGGCAAGGAGGAGCAGCCCCACTCCTCGAGCGGCAACTGGAGTGCCAGCTCGGAGTCGGGCCGCGCCTCCATCGGCAGCGAGATCACCATGCAGCCCAAGTCGAGTGCCTCGAGCACATCGCTAAATGTGTCCAGCTTTCAGCCGGGCGGCGGAGGAGCTAGCAGTGGCCCGCCCTCGTCCATGCTGAGCCGACGCCGTTTCCTGAACACCTCCGCCTCGAGCAGCGTCACCAGCGAGGGCACAGCCACTCCGGAGCTGCAGGCAGAGGCCGGAGCCTATCCGGGCCACCTGGACGATGAGACCAGCTCCGCCTACAGCTGCGACACCGAGGGCTACTACACCTCCTTCCACATGGACAGCGGCCTGCGCACCCTGAAGGAGGAGGAACCGTCGCCAATGCCGGGCACGCCGCTTCAGGCGAGCCTGCACACCAGCAGCTACTCCTTCGGCAGCCAGTCCAACCAGACGGTGCTCAACGCAGAGAGCGAGTATGAGCTGTTCGGCAGGGGATCCACCTCCACCACGACCAGTTCGGCGGGCACCGTGTGTACGGCCCTACTGAGCGGAGCAGCCGCCGGGCCGGATGTGCCCGAGCGGAGCAGCTCGCTGGGCAAGCACAGTGGCCAGAGCCGAAGCCAGAGCACCAGTGCCAGTAGCAGCACGCTGGAGAGGAGCTACAGCAGTAGCACCATCGGCAGCACCCTGGAGCGCACCGGCACGATCAAGCGGAATGTAAAGATGTCGCCGGCCAAGAACGGAGGCACCGAGCTGGAGACCAAGGAGGATCAGCAACTGGAGCAGGATCAGCAGCAGCAGCTGGAGTTCTCGGAGAGCTCCGATCTGGAGGGCGTGGAGCGCATTGAGCGGATTAAGCAGAAGACGGCCATCAGCTCCAAGCGGATACCCTCCATGTGCATAATCACCCCTACGACCAGCGACGACGACGAGCACCAGACCATGGATCCCAATCGGACGCTGACCAGCCTCACCATCGAGGTGGACCATGAGCAGGACGGCGACGATGAGCCCGAGCAGAAGACGCCGACAAACAGCAAGGACCACAACCTCAACGAGCTGAAGCAGACGCCCACGAAAGCCCTTAGCGGCATGTTTGAGAAGCTGCGCGTGAAACTGGTTCCGGGCAAAAGCTCGCCCTCAAAGAACCAGCTCCAGGTCCAGGTGCCGCCCAAGCCCAAGCCCGCCAACGCGAGTGCTGTGAATGACGACGAGCTTTACGACCTGGCTGGCGAGTACGTCACGATAGCCGACATCAGCAACAACAACAACAACCACCATCGACGGCCCAAGGCAACCGCCACGGGAATGGGCATTTACTATTCCAATGACATAGTTACGCGCCGTGCCGTCGAGCCCGCCGTCTCCGAGTACGTGTCGCTGAACGAGCTGCCCCAGCACTTGCGTCGGCATGCAGTCTCGGCCAGATCTCCGGCGGAGAGCCAGGAGAGCCGCGAGAGCGAGGCCTGCGCACAGCTGCCAGCCACAGAGCCGGCAGCTGTCGCCCGCTCACAGCAACCACCACCGCCGCTCGGCAGGCAGCAGCATTCCAGCTCAGCCGGCGGGGATGGGGTGCCGATGTACGCGGAAATCGGCGAGCTTAGCGAGGAGAAGCCGCTCGTCTCGGCCAGCCGTCGGCTGCGCCCGAACGCCGAGGGGAGGGTCGTGTACGACTCCGACAGTTTGAAAAGGCGCAAGGGTGCACACACCACCTTCGCACCTGGGCCGTACGTGAAGGAAACCGAAAGTGCGCTTCTCAGTGCAGAAAGTGCAGCAGCATCGACAGGAGCAACAGCATCAACAGGAGCAGCATCAACCGAAGCAGGACCCATACTAGCCACCACTAAGAGCGCCAAGCTCCTTCTGCTCAGCGGCGGTGGACTACTCGCTGGCAACCGAAAGGTGGCCAATGTGAGGCCCATTGTGGCCAAGAGCCCGCTCAGTAGGAACAACAGCGGCGGCGGCAACGGCATGGCCGCCTATCAGGCCACTAACGGAGCAACGGCGAGCAGCTACCAGGAGCAGAAGCAGCTCCTGGCCAACCGCACCAATCCCTTTTACGAAACCATTGCCGCGCCCGTGGCCAGCCTGATGATGCCCTCGCCCTCGGGCAAGTCCAACTCATCCACCGGCTCCACGGCCACCAGTTCCTCCTCATCGGCCTCGGGCCACTCCGGCGAAGAAGGTAAGCCCGAGCAGCAACCGTCAGCCGTCAGCAGCTGCCCCTTCGCTTGCCCAACCAAGACCCAACCCGAACCCAAAACCACATCCTCAATCACGTCCCGCTCCCTTGTAAATAACACGCTACTTTGCAACACTGTCAGCACAGCAACTCTAACAGCAGCAGCCGCATCCAAGAGCACCCCCAATAACCATGTAGTCAGCAAGTCAGGGGGCAGCATATCAAGTGTAAGGGAGCAGCATCAGCACCGTCAGGGCCCCAAAGATTGCGAGTCGAAAGTGAGGGTTGCTGAAATGGAAACTAACCGTTTGGGGGATGTGATTCCACCCACCGAGTTGGTGGGGGGCGATTGTGATGGGGATGCTGGGGAGCAAGTGCCACCCCTGCCGCCGAGGGCGAAAGTAAGTGGCAATGCCCCCGTGCACACCCACCCTCTATCGATTGACCCAATTGCGCTGCACTTCGCCAGCAATGCTGGCAATCCCGGCCAGCCGCGGGCCGCCCTCAAGCGCAACAACAGCTACCGGCTGGCCAACGACGAGCTGAAGCTGGAGATGAACAAGGAGAATCTCTCCGCGTCGTTCGGGGCCGAGAGAGCACCTACTTCGGGTGCAATGCCCCCGATGCAGCACGCAACAAGTTCCCTCCGCTTGCGCAACCTGAGCAACCTGCCCGCCGCCTCACCTGGCGGCGGGGTGACAGAGCGGCGGATAGCCAAGTCTTTTGAGCGGCTGGTGGACGAGTTCTCGCTGTCTCTCACCAGCAGCGGCGACGATTCCTCGTATCTAAAGAACAAGTCGCTAGAGAACTTCGATGACTCGCCCGCCCTGCTGCAAGAAGCTCCTTCGGCTGAACAAAAGCCAGACGAGCACGCCTCCTCGGACGAGTCCGAGGAGGAGGAGGCCCCGTCTTTGTCCCTGCCAGCCAAGTACCACAAGTCCTTTGTGGACAGCGTGCTGTTGCGCCCGTTTAAGATTATTCTGCCCAGCGACGAGAACGGCAACCGTCGTCAGCGCATCCTACAGAAATTCGAGGTGACGGAGATATGGTAGTTGGGCGCCTAATTGCCCAGACTGACACGGCTCAGATCCTTGAGCCGCCACCTCATTAAAGTTGCCTGCACTTGGCCGCAGGCGTGCGTGTTCAATGGGCCGAAAGGAGGTCTATTCCGGGGTTCAATGTCCAAGCTGGAGCTCCGCCCACACACTAGATATGCTGCTCAAAGTCTTGCTCCTCCGACTGCTACGCCAGCTGGCTTGCCAGAAATAAAACAGTTAACAAATAGTAAACCCACTGTTTATACAGACTGAAGCTCGAGATTTTTAACCAGAGACTTGACTCATTTCTAAACCACTATTATTTCAATCAAGCTGTGTGTATAAACAAGATTTTAAACCTTTTGTTTTGTAATTTATGTACTTAACTCTTTTTTTGTGTGTGTTTTGTCCTTAACCTTAGTTTTAGTGATTAATAAATGTTACTACTTGTTCTTGTTTACCCATAAATACGTCTGTAACTAATTGTAATTAACATAAACCAACACAACATGAAATTGATGTACATTCTGTATAGTTTTTTGCACCGTTCACACGTCTTGTACACCGACACATATACTCAATACCCATAATTACCACGATTTGTACTTAATCTTAGGTTTAGCCCACGCCTGTGTTGCTAATTTTTTGAGTTATGAAACCGCTTTGCAATTGATTATTCGCGATCTGTGGACGGATGGTTGTGAGGCGTGCAAAAGACTTCTATGCCGATTGATCCCTAACCCAGCCTGTGCTTGTGTGTTTGTTCATGTTACAGCATCGTAGTAGTAGTTTTTTGCACGCTCCTCCTCCTCCTCCAGCTAACTAACCCCCCGTAGTGGCTTGAAAGATTAGCACATGGCGCCCAAGCAGTTAAGTTCTCGGCTAAGTTCAACCCTCACATTCCATAACGAAACTCAATCGTAAGTAGTGTTTAAACAAAAAGAGAATAAAACGAAAAGAAACGAAAATTCGGCATTGACATTATCATTGGCATTTGGTTTGTGGTTCGTGGTTACGGCATCCCCGCACTCATAGTCAAGCCATTCCATCCAAAAGCATCCAAGCATCCACAACCACACTCGCACTGCACCCCAACCAGCCATATGTAAATACTCGCTCGGGCTCGGGGGATTTCCAGGTAATGTCATCGCACAGGTACGTATGGAACTGCTTGCTATGTTGAACGCTTCTCGATAGCCGAGTCCTGCCCTAACCATCCGCACTTGAAACCGCTTACTAATCGAAAGAAAGAAAGAGTGGAGTCCCAGACTGTTCCCTGCCAGTGGCTAATCCCCGTCTCCTTCTTCTATATCTTCCTCTCCCAGGGTATCAACGTTTCTCTAATATCTATGAGCAAGTGCAGCCAGCACCGAGCACAGAGCCACAGGGAGATGACACTGCCACGCCCTTCCAGCGCAGTGCGCCCATCTACTGGACGCTGCAGAGTAGGCGGAGCCAGCCCAAGGTACAGCCCACTGCTGGTGGGGTAATCTGCCGGGATGACCTCTATGCCACGCCCATTCGCAGGGCCGACCGCCTGCCCCGACCCGTTGCTACGGCGGCGGCGCCAGCAGTAGCAGCCGATGGCAACCGGAGCAACATATCGCCAATTGTGCCAAGGAACCGCAGCGGGGCCTTCCTCACCTCCACGCCCACGCGGAGCGGAGAACTAGAGAGCACTCAGGTGCCCCCCATGAAGCAGCCGTCGCGCAACTGGAGCGATGACGCCCCCGAGCGACTCAACACCTGCGCGGATCGCATTGGCCAGAGTAAGACCACGCTGATGGACTTCAAGAAGCTGCTGCTGGCCAAGTCCGCCAAGGCGAGTCCTGTTCAGAGGAAGGTCTCCGCCGTGGAGCTGCTGAAGAAGTCCTCCTCCCCGGTCCCAGCCACAATCACGCCCGCTGTGAAGCCCACTGGAGCTGGTCAGAAGGTGGTTGCGGCGGGTGCAGGAAAGCCCACGATAAACAGCAGCCTAAAGCTGCTGGACCTAAGTGGGTCTCCCAAGACGTTCGCTAATCGCCGGATGCTTCGCCAGGGCCAGTTTGGATCGCCCTCCAAGACCTTTGCGCCCAAGATGCGCGGTCCCGTAAATGTGGTGGCTGCTGCAGCGGCCCCGCCGCGAACGGACATCATGTCTAGCACGATAATGGAGGCGAACAGCGAGGAGGACCACTCCAACACCAGCGGCGGATCGCGGGCCAGCTCCGAGGCGAAGGAGACGGCTGTCCTCTCCAGCTTCGATTTGAAGAGAAACTTCTTTCTGCAAACCGAGGAGAACAACTTCATGCGGGGCGAACTGAAACCCAGCTTTGCCAGGACGAACGGAGGAGCCGGCGTAGCAGCGGGAGCCAGCGGTGAGGGCAACAAGTACGTGGCGGCTCCGGTGGCGAGTACACCGCCGCTGCCCTCATTTGAGACGGCATTGTAGAGCGGGTCTAACCCAAAGGAGAATACATATTCCATAAGAAACGATACCATAATCGAGAAAAGAGCAATTCCCTTCCGTAGCCAAGCCGAAACTGCATTTATTGACGAACGGAACCGACGACGACGAGTCAGAAGCGATGCTACTTTATGCAACATATACATATACATATATCACTATATATACTTATACATAACGCCCTTATACAATAAACTGTATTTTTTAACTTGTGCTGCTTGTATAAACGGAGATGTTTTATACACGAATACGAATCGTCTGTACACCTACCATACAATCTACATATTTATTTGTAATTTTACGTTATTTATTGCAACTATTGTATTACGCTACAACACGCATTGCATTGCCCCTTGTTTTCGTGGTGCAAACACTTGTACGTACGTCTAAAGAACTAAAGAAAATCGCTTAAAAAATAAACACACATTGGATAACATAATTGGAAATGCTTGGAACTTCTTATTAAAGGGGAGGGTGGATTTTTCTACATTTGTATATAGTAGATATAGTTTCATTTAGATTTAGTTTAATATTTGTTTTTTAGCTTTTTGTGCATTTATTATAAAGGAATGTAAGTATTACACTTTTTTGGCTCACAAATTCCTTAAATATAAGGTGCCATTCCATACCGATTTGGTAAGTTACATGTTTCAGCCTTTTTGGCTTCGAACAAACTCAAAGCCACCGGAACTGCAAAATGTAATGGAATAAATAATGATAAAAATCCACGCTCGCTTTCGGTTAACCCCTGCGAAACAGTCTATTTCTGTTTAAATCCAGCTACGTCCCACACTGCCGGACCTCCGCTTGGTGGACTTGTCGCCCAAGGAACTAGCAGCTTGATCCTTGCGTGGCAAAACGGGTGAGCTTCCTGATCCTATATTCCGTATCAGTAGCTTGAGGCCTCGGGCCTGAGCATCGCTGGCCTGGCTCACGCTGTTCGCCTCGGAGGCGATGATACAAAAGTCGTCTACGATGTGGCCAGGTGGACTGATGTCGAAGGGCAAAATGTCGCTAAGGCTCTGCTGGGGACGATAGACGCTGCGTCGCCGTGAGGCGCCATCGCCACCAAGCGAACCAGCGCCCGTTGCTGCAGTTCCCGACTGCTGCTGCTGCTGGGATAGTTGGTGCATCTCCTGTTGCATTTGGAGAAGGCGGGTGCGAAGGCCAGTGTTGTCGTCGCTAAGCCGCTGCATAAGGGCTGCCTCCTGCTCCGCGCGAACAAACGTTGGCTGCGGCAGGCATTGGTAGACGGTGGTCAGAAAGTTACGTAGGGAGAGAAGCAATGTGTCCTGCCATTGCTTCGTGAAGAACAGAGCGAAGGTGGGCGACTCCTCGGCATTTCGGCAGAAGGGGAAGTCTAAAAAGGAAACGAATCACGTGAAATGGGCGTTGGCCTGGGGAGTCATGCATCTCAGCCTACAGAACCAATCCTTCCACTCGCTTTGCTGCTGCAGCTCGCCTGCCATCTTGTTGAAGAACTCCGACACCTTGTCTGCTCGGTTGTTGCTGTAGGCCGTCACCAGGTAGTACTTCAGGAGGCTGTTTTCCAGCTTCTTTACAGCTGGAGCGATTAGCCAAAGGTTAGTCGTTTCGCTTGAGATTCGAGAAAATCGAAACCTTACCCACGGCGTATGTATGTTCCAGCTTAGAGAACAGATTGTTGTCCAAGTGAAGCCATAGACTGCGAACAGCCTGCAGGTCGTAGGATTGAATGGCATTGTTAAACTGCTCCAGAATCCGCTCCGCTCTGAAGTGCTGGTCCTTCTCCGTGCGCTGCTCCAAGTCGAGGGCCTTCAGCGTGCTGGAGAATCCACGGAAAACCAGGTATTCCCTGAGCAGGTTGTCCAAAAAAGCCACTTGAGCCATTTCTTCGTTGCAATCTAAATTTTCCTAATGTTGTGATTGTTAGTAAAGTGGCAGAGTGACCGAACTACCCAAAGGTGTTTTAGTATATTTATTAAATTTGAATTGCGGTATATTTAACGGAACGAACTTTTGAATTTTGTAAATTGATTTATATAAATAACGGTAATGTTTATATTTGTTTAGATGCCTTATTATTTCATTAAACAATTAAACTAAATTTAATAAATATTCTTAGCAATTTAAAAGGTAAGTGAATTATATAGTAGTAGTATATTAATGTGATGTTACTTATCCCACCCAATGTTCTTGGAGATTATTTTTAGCTTACCAGAGAGCACTTCCATGCTATATTTAAACGAACATGTCGGAAGACTAAGGAAACCATTAGTTGGGCATCGCTTAGTTCGCTCCCATTCGTTAAATGGCCAACAACGCTCGCATCGAGCACACGTCCCCAGAGGGGCATGAGGGGGATGCTACCTGTGTGGCGTACTTCAATGGCCAGCTGTTTTCCGGCGGCGCCGACGGTAAAATCCGAGTGGGTATATCGCGCTTCCTCGCTCTGCTACGGGGTGGTCCCTTCAATCCAACTGTCTGTCCCCCTTGCAGATCTGGTCGCCGGAACTGCAGCTGCTGGCCACCGTAAATGCCCATGAGGCGTACATCTACTGCATGGCCATCAACCAGCACGGAAAGGTCTACTCAAGCAGCTGCGACGGCCAGGTGCGATTCATGCTGCCGCCTTACAGAGACGCTGCCGTGCAGGAGCTCTTCCGATGTGACGACGCCATCCAGGCCATGTACTGCGACGGCTCAGTCCTATACACAGGCGATGATAAAGGTGTGGTGACCACCTGGAGCAACGATCGCATGCTCTTCAAGTACAATCTGGTGGAGGAGGTCAAGTCCCTGGCCGGGGAGCAGAAGCTCATCTATACTGTGCGCGACCTGGACGTGGTGGTGTCTTCAGTTAGCATAGGAAAGTCTGGAAAGTACACTAACAAGGCTGTGATCCCAGGCAAGTCGCCCCTCCTACTGCTCGGCCCGCTGGTAGATGGAAATCGGAGCTTCCTAGCCTTCCCCGATCGCTCGGGAATGGGCCTTCAGCTGGTGAATAACCTGCCACAGAAGAAATATGCACATATATGGCAAATGCCGGTAAGTCCATTAATGAGGTGAGTGCTTAATGAGGGATAATAAGTGGATCTGCACATTTGTTTCAGAACTGCCACGAGTGGATTGTGACCTCCATTTGCGGGGACGAGGCATTCTTGTACTCCGGCGGCTACGACAAGAAGGTCAAGGGCTGGACCGACCTAGGATCCACACAACCAAAAGCTTTAGGCGAGGTGGATGTGGGCAGTGTCGTAAATAGCGTATGCTGTGGTGACAACAACATGGTGTATATTGCCACCAGCGACGGATTAATACGTGCTGCCAAGTTCGTATAGCCTCAATTTTAGTTTTTAAATTGTTTTAAGCGGTATAATCAGAGCTCCCTCAAGCCTCACTGTTTATCTCAGTAAAATGATAGTCCTTTAAATGTTTAACAGTATTTATTAAAGAAAAGCAGTTTCTTTTATGCCTTGGACCTACACTCTTGCTTGTGTTCCAGGCTGTCAAATCCTACCTGAGCCTCGATCCAGCTCGCCACTGAGAGCAGTAGCTGCTCGTTGAGGCTGTTGCTCATCAGCTGCAGGCTCAGGGGCAAGCCCGTTCGGGAGAGGCGAATAGGTATGGACACGGCGGGAATGCCTGCCATGTTGGCCGGCTGCGTGCAAAAGTCCTGCACAGCGCACTGGTCCCTGTTGGTCAGGGAGGCAAAATCCTTATAGAGCGGAGCCTCGGTCAGAGTCGTCGGGGTGAGCAGGATGTCCACACGGTCATCGGAGGGAGAGGACTGAAACACTTTGGCAAAGTCCTCGGCGATCAGGCGGCGCACCCTCAGCGCCTTCTCGAAGTAGTGGTCGTAGTTCCTGCGCAGCAAAAGGAAGTTTCCCGTAAGAATGCGCGTCTTTACCACTTCATTGAAGCCCTCAGCCCGGGACAGTGCGTACAACTGCTCCGTGCTGCGCTCATCGGAGGCCCGATGGCCGTACTCAATACCGTCGTAACGGGCCATGTTGCTGGCCACCTCGCACTGGTTGAGGATAGAGTACACGAAAATACTGGCCGCCGTGTTTGGGAGCGAGACCTGGCGCACAGAGGCGCCGGCGCACTCCAGGAGATCGGCCACCTTGGACCACGTCTCCAGCACCTCGGAGGAGAGGCCCTGACAGTGGTATTCCTTTGGTATTCCGATTCGCACTGAGCTCAGGTCTATTTTGTCTACTTCCGGCAAGTGCAACTTTGTGTATGGCTGTCTGATGGTAGTGGAGTCCAGCCGATCCGGTCCAGCCACTGCGTTGAGGACCTCAAGGCAGTCGCTAACGGAGCGAGCGAAAATTCCAGGCACATCCATTGAGTTGACTAGCGGGATGAGACCATGGCGGGAAACCAAGCCGTAGGTGGGCTTTAAGCCTACCACGCCACAGTAGGAGGCCGGATTTCGGGTGGATCCCCCTGTATCGGAGCCAATTGCGCTGAAATAGAAAGGCGAATGGATTCATATTTGAAATGTACGCCAAAAAATGACAAAATATTGTAGAAATAATAATGAATATGTTAAAATAAATAACCGTCTTGATTTAAAAAATAAAATATTTTTAAATACAAAGTTTCGTTAAAAATACCAAGTCATCCATGGTATAAAAAAAATCCACAGTTGGAAGACAGTGAATGGGCAGCACTGACGCACAGCTGATAGCAGGCGACGAACGGCCACTCTGTCAGAGATTTGTGCGAACGAGGAAAACTTGATTATTTACGAAAATTGCGAACTAATTTGTCCCCCAAAGCGATGTCTGCGCTCTTTCGTCTGACCAGCCGCGCCGTGGCGCTGCAGCGTTCCCTGGTGGCCAGCCAGGCGGCCACTCTGCGCGCCAGCCGCAGCATCAAGACATCGCCAAAGAAAGATGAGACCATTGTAGCCCCCACCTCGGTCACCACGGAGGACTTCGCCAATCCCAGCCCCAAGAACTGGCAGAGCTATGGCTTCGACTACAAGGACCAGGCCGAGGATCGCAAGGCAACCAAGTCGACGTTCTTCGTCACCGTGACACTGTGCCTCGTGTGGGGAACCTTTTACTGGGCCTACCTGCCCGACACCCAGTTCCGCGACTGGGCCCAGCGCGAAGGCTTCCTTGAGCTGCGCCGCCGTGAGCAGGCCGGCGTTGATTTGGTCAGCCCCGACTACGTGGACCCTGCCAGCATCTCGCTGCCCTCGGACGATGATCTCGCCGACACAGAAATCATCATCTAAACATTTAGTGCTCTATCTTAGTCTGTTATGTAATATGAATGCGGCTGGCGGCCAGAGCGGTGTTGTGCGGCCCGTCCGTTAATAAACTGCAAGTCTCGGCGTGTAAAATGCTGGCTTTACATCTTTTGGTGCATAAAATCAAGTAAATATGAAACTTTTCGTTTCTGACGCGATTGAGGTTAGGGGGAAAAACGTAAACAAGCTGATGCTCACATAAAGGTACTCACGCATAGCACAGTCCAGCGGCCACAGCGGATGCAGAGCCTCCGGAGCTGCCTCCAGCAATGCGCCAGTGGTCCTGATCGAGGTCCTCGCTCCAGATGTTCTTAGTGGGACCGTACAGCGAGTCCACGGTGCCGGCGCCCATGGCAAACTGATCCATGTTGGTCTTTCCCAAAAGTACTGCGCCGGATTGCTTCAGCCGGGAGCAGACGGTGGCATCATAGGGAGGCACAAAGTCCTGGAGCATCCTAAAAGGGAAAATTATAATGAGCTTAAATACGTATTAGAGAAAATCCCTTGTATTCCTACCGCGAGGCACAGGTAGTATGCACATCTTGAGTGCAAAAATTATCCTTGACAGCAATGGTTACTCCGTCCAGGGAACCAAAAGGCTTCTTATTCTGATAGCGTCCCTCGGATTCCTGCGCCTGCTGGAGGGCCTGTTCAGGAGTGAGCCGTATAAAGGCGTTTAGTGTCTTTAGTTTGAGCGCATCCTCCAGAGCCTGTTCTGTCACCCGGCGAGGAGAGCACTGACCTTCCGCGTAATTGGCCGTTAACTGAAATATAAGCAGTTTTATAACAGTTTTGGCTTGATTATGTATTAAACCACCTGCTTGATGCTCCACTGCAAGTGTCTCCGCATTTTTATGATAATAATTACGAGTTAATTAACCCGTTTCTTGAGCTATCCCCGGAAGAATTCATAACAAATAAATTCAATCAGCACAATTGTTAAGCTTATTTGGGATTCTTATACTTAATATCTGGTCACACTGAAGCTCATGGGCGGTACAAAGGGGTTTAATTAAAATTAGCATAACTTAGCCAACAAGGCATTAATTTAAATTCTGAAAGTGGCTTATGTTAGTTATTATTGGCATAATAAATCTGCTTTTTAAGTTTAAAAATTAAAATTTATGTGAGTTCTTACAAATTTTAAAGTTGAACCTGACCCTTTATAAAACTTTCAAAAATTGAATCAAATTTTATGCATAATTTTTTCTACATAGGGTCGGAAACGACTTTTTCAAAGCGTTGCAAGCAAAGAAAGAAATAAGACCCTTTCTCAACCCCTTTTTAATTAATTTAGCTACACCCCTGACATCCCAGTAACTTTTAGGCCCCACAAAACAATTGTTTCAAACTACACCCATGCGCCCAGCAGCTGTTATTGATTAGAGGAGCGATAAAAATCCAGTGAAGCGCATTTATTAACAATAGGACAAGCGCCACTAGACTTTAAAGTTATCTAACATCAATCAAGCGGTTGGAGACATCTACAGTGCTTTTGAAGAGCGGCCACCGGCATTCCTAGAACCTTTAGTAGCTGAAACATGGCCAAGCTGGACGAGCGGATCGGTTTTATCGGGGGCGGAAACATGGCCTTTGCCATCGGCTCCGGCCTCGTCCGTTGCGGGATCGTCAAGGCCAGCCAGGTGGTGGTCTCGGGTCCGCACATCGAGAATCTGCAGCGCTGGAGGGACCTGGGCGCCGACACCAGTGACGACAACAACCTGGTGCTGGAGCACACAGACATAGTCTTCATCTGCGTCAAGCCGCACATGCTCGCCCCCTGCGCGGCGCAGCTGAAGTTCAAGCACGTGCCTTCCGCCAAGGACGCCAACAAGCTAATTGTCTCGGTACTGGCTGGCACCACCCTTCAAACGCTGGAGGAACAGTTCGCCTTCATGCAGAACTCCGGCCTGAAGGTGATTCGCACCATGCCCAACACATCCATGCAGGTGGGCGAGGGCTGCACCGTGTACACGGGCAACGCGCGGGTCACACACCACGACCTCGAGAAAATTCATCTCATGCTCAACGCTTTGGGGCTGGCCCAGCAAGTGCCCGAGACTATGATCGACGCCGTCACCGGAGTGGCCGGTTGCGGTCCGGCCTTCGTCTACACCATCATCGAGGCTTTGGCTGACGGCGCTGTAAAGCAGGGGGTGCCCCGGCAGATGGCTCTGCAATTCGCAGCTCAAACTCTGCTGGGAGCAGCCAAGACCGTGCTCATGACCGGCAAGCATCCGGCTGTGCTACGGGACGAGGTGTGCTCACCCGGAGGTTCCACCATCGTGGGCGTTCATGAGCTGGAAAAGGGAAACCTGAGGTTCTATAATTTACCTTCTTTAGTTTTTCAATCTGGAAAATAATATATCCTTCTTTTAGAGCTACGTTGATAAATGCAGTGGAGAAATCTTGTCAGCGGTCCGCTGAACTCGGAAAGAAATGAAGCGCTCCCGGTCTCCAGCTTCCCATCTTTGGCTCTCTACACTTAATATTGTTAATAGAAAACGCTTCGTGTTGATATTATATTACTACTAATGTAAAGCTTCAATTTATTCGCGATCTTTCTTGCTGACATACTCAACGCACTTCGAGGGATCTGTGGGAAAGTACTCCTGGCACTTGGTCATCAGTCGCTTGAGACCCTGGATGTACTTGCGCTGCGTCTCGTCGTTCATCACGTGGGCCACGTTCTTGGAGAAGATCTTCTCGCGACCAGTACGAGCATGGATACCCACCATGGTCACGCCGATGGGCCACGGAGCGTTGCCAATGGCCATCTCCAGGTAGGCGTCGCTGGCGGTGATGTAGTTGCGGTTGAGCAGGTGCTTGCAGATGTCGCGCAGACTGTCCAGGATGTCCTCCGGCAGAGTGTGGTGCTTCAACTTGCGGAACAGCGGCTTTACGTACTCCTTGGTCTGCGTGTATATGACCCGCGTCATCTTCACCTTGGTAGACATCTTCTCATGCTTGCTATAGTTGGCGATCTGGTCATTCCACAGCTTGAGCAGGAAGGTGAGCAGCGTGATTATCACGTCCATGTCGTACTCCTTGTTGCGACCCATCTTCTGGGCCATCGTTTGTATGCTCTCCCACGATACGGACTCGTCCAGCTCGGCAAAGTCCGACTTCTTGTCCTCCTTGGCGGTCGGTGTGTTGGCAAACATCTCTTGTAAGTAGGCGGCATCCACCTGCTCCATGGCTTCCTGGAAGTCATTGCGGAAGCCGCGGTTCGCCTCTGGCTGCGAGATCTCGCACTGTCGCAGTCTGTCGAAGGCTTCTGGTTCAGTTTCGCCGAATATCAGGATGGGTTCTCCGCGCTCCCTCAGTCGCCGGATGACCTCTGTGCGTGGCAGGATATTCTGGCCGTCGGCAACGAAGCTGTAGGCGCCTTCGGTGGTCTGTCCCTGGGCCTCAACGGACTCTTGCTTCTTGTAGCCCACCTTCTGGAGCACCTCCTCCGTGTCCTTGGCATTCAGGTCGCCGCGTCTGAAGTACTTCTTCTTGTCGTCTACCAACTGCTTCTGTTCAAGCAGCTTGCGTTTGCGGGCTATTTCGGCTTTCAAGATATCCATTTTGCTCGAATTGGTCAATAACAATGTGTTGCAAACAAACAAAACAAAATGCAATGCGTTGTGGAGTGTGACCAGGCTGCGGAAGATATTAGCCACGGAAATACACCAGCGGACAAATTTATAGCGCTGTCGTTTAGTTATTACATGAGAATTGTATGAACACGGCTCATAAAAGAACAGAAAACAATATTTAATAAGTTTAGGTAATTACATTCGTTTTGTACTTTATACAAAGATACGAGAATAAAATATTTTTTAGTTTGTGGAACAAAAACAAACTTAATTAGTGTGTGTATAAATGATACAGCCTTTAACAATTTTATCCCTGGTCACACTGGCCCCAAATCAATAAGCAAATAGACAAATTATTTAGAAATAAATTTTTGGATTAAAAATGCCAAAGAAAATGGGAATCAACTCGAAGGCGGTGGAGGCCCGCGAGCGCAAGGAAGCCACGAAGAAGGCCACGCAGGACAAAAAGGCCAAGGAGGCGGAGGACCGCCTGTGGCACGACGACGACAAGAATCTTGCCAAGAAGCAACAGCGCAAGGATGAGGAGGAGCGCAAAAAAGCGGATGCCGCCAAGCGGAAGGCCGAGGCTAAGGCTCTGCTCGACCAAGAGATGAGCTCCATCAACACGCAGCGCAAGCAGCCGCTGGCCAAGATCAACCGCCAGCAGATTCTCGAGGAGATGGAGAAGAAGCAGCGCGTTATCGAGGCGATCAACGAGGCTAACAAGCCGGCTGCCACGCGTGTAGTTGTCCAGAACAACGTCGTAGAGGAGAACCTGAATCGCTCCATGGCCGACACCGATGTGGCCACCAACATTGACGAGGCTCTGGTAGTGCTGAGGTGAGTACTCAAGGAGCAGCCACTAATAGCTTCGTTCAAATGCATCCCACATTTATATGCAATCTTATCTTCCAGTGTAAACGACAACGAAGACGACAAGCATCCGGAAAAGCGAATGCGAGCTGCCTACAAGACCTTCGAAGCCAACAATCTGCCCCGCATCAAAGCCGAGAATCCCTCGCTCCGCATGTCCCAGTGGAAGCAGCTGCTAATGAAGGAGTGGAACAAGTCTCCTGACAATCCCTTCAACCAAGCGCGCTAAGCGACAACGGACTCTGGATTTCCATCGCCCCCATCGACGAGTGTGCGTACTCTAGTGACTGTTTGCTGCCTAGCAGCAAAGACAACAATGACTTTGAACTCTACGCAGAATTTTAGTTTATACCGAAAGTTGTGTGCAGAATAAATTATTTATTTATTTAGGCCCATTTAAAAACATTTAAACTAATGCTATTTGTGGAATCGTAACTCCTCTAATTAATCATTGGATCGAGGCTAGAAAATATGTAGCTCAAAGCTAGTTAGCTTTTGATCTCAGCTTGATTGAGCCATAATAAATGGCTGGTCAAATGGGTGTTCTTCGTATCTTAAGATCTCTGGGGCTTCTATGAAGAATTGATGGAGTCGCTTCTTTCTGAGTCTGATCTCCACCAGCATATGTATGTATGAAAGAGAAATTACCTTTGATTATGCAATATATCAACAAAATTATACCAAAATCGGTCGAATAAACATAGCCCTAAGGGAGGGTCTCAAGTCTGAAAGTGATAAACGAAGACCGCTTTCCTTCGCTTATTTAATGCCCATCTTCGGTATTTGCCAGTGCTTCCAGAGAGTTTGTGGCCCTGATCCGATTCCGGTTGCGTTTTGTGAATGAAGTAATTATATGTATTGCTTTGATTGCCATTGTCGTTTCAGCGTTTTGTCCATTACTTTATTTTTTACTCTGTGGTGCAAAATAGAGAGAATAATAAGTGCTTCCGCTTTCACTGTTTGCTGCTTGGAAGTTTGGTGGCGTTTTGTAAGCCACCAAAATATTTTGCTGTAGCTCGTAACATCAGCTAGTTAAATATGTGCTTACAGTCATTATGCACCTCTTTTTGGGCATTAAATTTGCTTTTATCTCTGCAATTATAAGAGAGTAGATAACTTTTTCCGGAGAATTGAGGAAGAAGATGAGGTTGATGATGGTGAAGATGATGGGAAGCTTCAGATGGAAAACAAGGAGAAAGATCCCTACGGGTCGCTCCTTCTTGAGGCTTTGCCTTCGCTTCTTCTTCTATGAGATGATCCAAGATCCAAGATCTCTGTGCTCTGCTCAAAAATGCTACCAAATAAGTATCCCAATAGCCAGGGCTATACTTGTCAACACTTTCCATCCATAGATCAGTTTATATAGACATTGTTGTACAAATTAACAGTCTTTCTATTTTCCAACGGTTTTAAGTTTTAAAATTTATTTGAGGATTTATATAGGTAGAACGATGGCCACAGTAAGTGTTAGGGACTTGGTTAAGCTCTACGAAGATATAATTGCGGCCGCAAGCAGCGATGCCCTGGATAATCCACCGAGGATTTTGAAAGAACAAGCCGCGACAATGCGCTCGCTTAGCGATGTTTCAGAGCATTGCCTGGACGTGGATGAGTCTGCGCCAGGGGAACCTCATCGTGGGGTCTTACGGGCGATTGACCCACCTATGAGCGACACGGTGGGGCAATCTGCCAATAAGACGTTCAAGCCAGAACCTCCGTCAGTTGGTAAGCGTGTGGTCAAGTTAGCTTTGATATTAGCACTAAAATACTTTACGATTAGGAAACCCTCGGTGGCTGCAGAAAACCAACTCCGGTTGCTTAAAACTAGTATTTCGAAGGCTAACCAATCTCTTCAGGCTTCACAAACAGCCCCGGAATCGTTCTCTTAAAGCAGGCAAAAAGTGCTCTTCAGCTTCAGGATTCTCCACAACTTCCCGAATTCACTGATTTCTGGCTCATCGTTGGACATTTACCATATATAAAATTCAGTTTAAATCCAAGGACCAAAGAAAGTCATAGGACCTTAAGAAGCAACAGATAAATGAACGAAATACTTTGAAAATAAGGAAATTCAGTAATCTGTGATATCGGATCGTACTAGTTCTTAAATGAATAAAATCTTACATAAATAAATAAAAACAAGAAAGAAAGCTAACTTTGGCCAGCCAAAGTATACCCTTGCAGGTAACAATTAAAATATATCATACCTAAGCCAAAAATGCATTAATTTCGATTCGGAAAGCAGTTTTGTGTTAGTTTTTATTAATTTAAAAAAACTGCATACCAAATTTAAAATTTTAAGAAATCAAAATATTTGGCAATATTTGCTAATTTTAATGATGTTACCCCTTATCAAATTTCGCAAAAATGGCCAAAAAATCGATTTCTTTCGGACATGTCTAAAAAGATTCGCATGTTAATGCTGATCAAGAATATATATGGTTTATGGGTTTATTCTGTATTATAAAATCGGATTTTTTATATTAAAAAACTTCTTGATTTTTTTTTAAATTAAAAATATCATAACTCGGCCAAAAGAGCATTAATTTTAAATCGGAAAACTGTTCTGTGCAAGATTTTCTACAGTTAATAAATCTGCATACTTCATTTAAAAATTTTAAAAATTAAATTTTTTATCAAAATCAAAAATTTTAATGATGTAACCCCTTATAAAATTTTGCAAAAATGGCAAAAAAATTGATTTCTTCCGGACATATCTAAAAAGATTCCCCTGTTGATGCTGATCAAGAATATATATACTTTATAGGGTCGGAAACGTCTCCTTCACTGCGTTGCAAACTTCTGACTGCAAGGGTATAACAAAGTAGGTATAATTATGTCTTTTTGATCCGTGGGTCTTGATATGGGAAGTACTTACTAAAGTTGTTAAGAAAACAAATCCTAAACTATATAATAAGTTCTTGCCACTACTATGATGTTTTTTTAGAGACCTGTAATTATAGTAAACTTACCAACTTTCATGATTAAGACATCTTGCTTTAAATGGCTTTTAATCTCACTTTCTTATCGCTGGCCATTGGCCCGTTATCGCTATAAGTGCTTACTCGGAAGCGGCCCATAAATGCCTGGACTGCATCCAACAATTAAAATGTTCCACTGCAGCAGATTCGATTTTTGAACTTCCACCAGCACCACCAGTTGCCGGGTAACAGCCAGTGGCTCTGTTAACCGTTTTCAGCTCTCTTGGCCGTTGCTGCTGATGTTACCTGTTACCTGTGGCTGACTGTGCTTTCTTTTTAATAAAAATTTCTTTTGTCGCCGCGCAACTTCTCATTCAGTGCCAGGCCTTCGAAGGCAGCGGACGCGTCGTGGTCTTCACATTGTTTGTGAGAGGGAAATGCAAATGCCAGAAAGCCAATATTGATCGCGAGCCGAGAGAAAAGAAAAGTGCGAGAGACGACGGACGTGTTTGGAAAATCGAATTGAATTTTGTACGGCAAAGTCAGCGGAAATCGCAACAACGGTAATTCGTGTGTGTGCACAGTGTGGTGTCTTTGTTTCCTTCTCTCTCTCGCGCTGTGAGTGCCTGTGTGAACTTTATTGATTCTCAAAAACAAACTCAAATAGCGGAGTATTCAGCCAAGGATATCATCGGCTATTCAGGCAGCTTGCGGGTAAGAATTGTGGGTCAGGCGGTTGGGAATGCCACTTGGCCATTACGGTTGCAGTTGCAGCTAATTAGCATGCTGCATTTGGCGGGGCAAAAGACAAAAACATACTGCTGCTGGCCACCCGAGCTGGAAATCAGGGCAAGCCCACACGAGTTCGTGCCCTAAGTCTTTTGTTTCGCTGCTTCACTTGCCACTTGGCTTTTTGTCGCCGACCCTTGGAACTGCTGCTGCACTTGGCTGGTCGGCAAAAAGCCATCGTTACCCGCTTTTTGCCAGAGAACAATTATGTACGACGGCTTTTTACCTCAGAACAGATCTCGCTCTGGCTTACTTTCCTGCCCATCAAATTCGGTTGACCCACAAATCGTGGACTACATGTTAATTGACGTTAACTTGTTTCCGCGATTTCGCATTCTGCCTGACGAATATGTAGCTGAGGTTCATCGACCACCGCTGGCTGCCTGTCTGGCTGGCGTTATGTAAAGTGCACAGTAATTGAATTCTGGTAATGAATTCACACTTTAAATGAGCTGCCGATGGCTGGCGTTTGCGTGTCGGCGCTTTGTTTGTTATGTGGCCGCTGGGCCGGGGATTATTCAATATACACAGGCGAGGAGATAACGAGATCAATTGGCGGGCAACCGTTAGCTAATTTATTACTTTCCCAAAAGGTCGCAGCAGCATGGCAATGTTCCCAATCGGCCACTAAGGAGTGCTCCGCCTGATTTATAGCCATCGTCAGCGACCCAAATTGGCCAGCGAGCCAGAATCAACATACATATTTGCTATATGCTCGGCTATAAGCTGTAAGCGGACGCAGAGAACAGAAACAGAACTTGGAGCCAACCCATTTACTGGATGGCACGCGTGGCAGCCAATAGCGATTTCCAGCGCTGCTGCAGCCACTCGTATTGCAATTGCATTAGCAACCCAAAAAGCCAAGTGACCATAAAGAGGCGGCAGGCAGCGGGCCTAGACCGAATTACCTACGAGCTACTAGCTCTAGCTTCCCCTCGAGATCTGGCCTTTTATGGGGGCTGGGTTCCTCCACCGCGTCCTCCTTCCCAGGGAAGTCATACTCCGTCACCGAAAACGCACTGACAGCCTTGAAAGATTTATTGGCTGCCCAGGTAGGCGACGTGCGGCGATTCTGCAAATGGGATACATCCATCCAGCCGCGAACATAGTCAATCATCGCTCGCTTATCTGCCTTATCGCTTGCTCTCCGAATTTGTCTTGGACATCGGCCATCCTCGGCACTTTCCTTTTTATTTACAGACCGACCACATAGTGGTTGCCCGCAGCTCGTGCCTAGTTTTCTGAAAAGCACTGTGAAAAAAGTGAAGTCTTTGGTAGAGTTGAGTAGCTAAGACATAGCTTTATGCTTTATTATTATTAAACAAGAGGAAATTTACAATTAATTTAATCGCAAAATAAATGAATAGAAAATTTTCAAATTAACTTTTAAATTTGTAAATAAAACGACATATTCATAGAAAAAGTGTAAGAAAAACACCTCTTGACCTTCAAGATCATGATGTGATATGCAAATATTTTACTATATTTATGTATATTTTTCCTGTGCACCTGGGGAGTTTCGGGCAGCTTCAACTATGGCTGTCACTCAATGCTTTTCTGCTGGTGCTTTTCTGTACGCTTTTTCTTCAAATCAGCACTTCAGCCCCAGCCCCAGCCCCAACCGCAGCCGTTGCCATTTGATTGCTCGGACAGTACTTTAATAATAGCAATTCCATTGTAAAATCCATATCGTCCGCGACGGCGCATGTGTGCAGCGCATAATTTCCTCGCTTTGTGCCATAAGTCGTTGTAAATTTCGACTCGCCGTCGTCGACTTCATTAAAACTAATAAAATGGCAGCAAATTCGAGTTTTCGAGAGTGTGCCTAGAGTGTGTACGGTGTGTGTGTGTGGCATTCGAAGTGCTCTCGGCTTGAACTTCACACTCTGGCAAGCTGAAATTTCACCATTTCACTTTGAAGAACCTGCGAATGTGCGCATTATTATAATTAAGATTTCAGGCACGTTGCCTTGACTTTCATTGCCATTTCTTAGACGCTTAGCGCTCGGCGGCTATTTCGGTTTATTGATTTTTTAGTTATTCGCTCTCTATGGAGCTTATTTGTATGTGTTTCTTCTGGCGAAGGAATTCCTCTCGATTTGGCCATTGGGGTTATTCATTTCTATATGCTAATCGCCGCTTAGCATATGTATGTGGGCGTCACTTTCTACGAGTGCCTATGAGTCTGGGCGAGAAATCCGAGCGGAAATCCGATTGGGGGCCACACGGATTTCCTCTCGACTTTCGGGAATTCGCTCGAGCTGATTGCACCACTCGAATGATTCACGAGATGGCCCCAGGTGTGTGCACTTGCCGAGATTTGTTAACAACCAGCCAGCCGGCCCACAAGCCGCGCAGATTTAACGAGTGTGATTGTGTGTGGCCAAGAGCGATTACGCACCTTAAAAAGTGAAATTTCTCGCCTTGTTTTGTTTTGCCTGTTCGTTTTTCGCCAGAAAGAAATGCAAATTAATTCGAGTGACTAATACAGCGGCGATTTCGGAGGAAAGGGAAATACCTAAAGGCCATCAAAATGGAAACTGCCTAAGGTCAGGGAAAATCTCTAATCGTGCACAGAGCAAAAATGGGTCTACATTTATTTTGAAAGCTTTAAGCGTTAAAAAATAATATATAATTTAAAACAAAAGATGAAAATTATTGTTAAACTTTATTTTTCAGAAAAATTCTTTCGATTTTATAAATTTTAATCTAAAAACAGTCAGAAAAGGCATGTTCTTGCAAGAGTATTTCTTGAACTAAAATAAATAAACTTCTGAAGTAAATATTTCTAGAAATTAAACATTTTTGCCAATTTTAAAAAATTTTAACTGTACCCTTATAGAATTCTTACAAAATGGGAAAAAAAATTCCTTCGACCATGCTAAAACGATTCGGTTGTTGATGCTGATCAAGAATATATATGATTTATGGGGCGGAGATGACTCCTTCCTTGCGTTACTAGCTTCTGACTCAAATTATATTATCCTGAAAGGGTATCTACATATGTACATTTCCTGCAGTTTACTTTAGTTAAAAAGAAAGAAACACTATTTTAAAGTGCATTTAAGTACCTCTGGAATCGTCGGCACCGAATAAGCATAGGGTTTCCAAGCCCAAGACCCGGCTTCGTCCACATTCCAGCCGCACTCTGGCACTCGCCATCGCCATCGCCATCGACTGTTTGTCCAATGATCGTTAACGGGGTCAGGCAACGCTACGTACACGGCTTTCTGCCCCTCTCCCGCCGCTGTTGGTTTATTTTGTGGTACCTCCTCTGGGGTCTGGGGTCTGGGGGTCTGGCAGTCTGAAGTCTGGGGCCTGGTCTCTGGTATCTGCCTGGCTGATTCACACAAAAAATCAACAGAAAGAAAAAACGTGAGCCGGACCGGCGGCCAGCTCTTCGACAGCCGCTGCAAGAAGGTTGCCTTGCCTTGCCTTGCCCAGTTGCCTCATACTTCCAAACGAAAAAATTTCACTGATTTTAATTGTTTTTATTTTGCGTCCCGTCCTACCGTTCTGGTTTGGCTGCTCGGCGGCACACGGCGAGTGCGTTTCTTTTGCTCTGCGGTTAAAGTTAAAGTTGAGGCATAAATTCGGTAAGCCATAAATAATTCTCTCTGGCGCCGCACCACAGTCCACTTCTCACCGCACCACCGGAGCAGCACTCAGAAGCTGAGCGAGAAATTTTTGGCTGCCAAAAGTGAAAGTTGCAGCTGCCGCTGGCATTGCCATTGAAAAGAAATAAGAAACGTAGGAAAGCGCCGACCAAATCGCTTGCTCTTGGCCTGGCTTTTGCTCCAGCAACAGTTTAAAGCCGCGTCTTAGGGTCTGGGTCTGGGTCTAACTAATGACTCGCTGCTCGAACTGCTTTTTGTCAACATAGCTGGCTGTAGGGGGGGATTAACCATTTTCGTTATTATGTGTTTCGTTTTTTCGTCGTAATTATGTTTACCACGCTTTTGATTGTTACTATTCCGGAGCCATTAAAAATTACACCTAATTGCGGTGGTCCGTAATAGACGTGCGACTTTCGGGGTGTCGGTGGCTTCTTCGGCGACACAACCAGCAGCATAATTGTGGGAATCGCAGCGAGCGAAATGAGTTAATCCCAGGGACCGCGGTGAATTGTGTAATGTGAAAGTAAAGGTGGCAGCAGACAGGCTTAATCCGCCAAAGGAAGTGTCTGCGTCGAGGAACTGGGTCAGTTTTGGGGGTTCGTTGAACCCAGGAGTGGCTTGGAATGTGCCGGCTGGGAACTCGTTTCCATATTTAAATTTAATTAAATTAGCACTTTCTACGGCCGAACAGGCAGCAAGAAAGCCGTGCCTCACATATTGAATAATAATTACAAACAATTAGCACAGTGACCCAGATGCGTGAATTATGAAAATGAAAATGCAGTGGCGGCCGCCCAGAAATGCCTTCGGCGACGGCCACAATGGAAAGTGGCAATCAGGTCCAGCTCATGGCTTGAATGTGCAATGAAAATCGCGTTCGCATACCCAAAGCTGTGCCGTTGACAAGAAGTTTGTGTCTTAAGTCTTTCGTTTGACGCGTGCTTTCCCACAAGTTGCACACAAGCAGGACGCTCCACTCCACTCAATGGCCTCGGCTTCTTCTCCAGCTTCTGGTTGAGCTTCTTCTCCAGCTTCAGGTTGTGTTCTTTTTTATTAGCATACTGATAAAAGCGAACGTGTTGTCCGACGACTTGTGTATGCTGCGGACATTAAAAACTGATGGGAAGAGCAAACAAGTTCCCAAATTGTGACCCAATTACCCAGTTAGCCGGTTGGCCAGTTAGCCAGTCTGCTGGCACCAGTTCTACTTGGCCAAATGAATTGGGACTGGGGCTTGGCTAAATTCAGCGGAACCAGCGTTCCAGCATTTGCATAACATCCCAGAACATCGCAGAACAGAAAGCACAATTGTTGGCCAATTCATTGACAATTGGAATGAAAGTTGGTAAACGGCCAGACTCCGAGACTGCGGGACTCCAGATCCAAGATTACCCGCAATTGTTTCGTGCGGCACAGACCGCATGCAATCGAGAGGAAATCTAGACCATAATAATAAGCGCGGCAATTTGGAGACACCACCAATGGCACCACTCTGGCAATTGCCGCAATTGCACTTTCATTTGGGATTCTTGCTGCCCGACATCTCCCCAACCCCCGGCTCTCTTTGAATAAATTTCTACGCCACTTGATTGACAGGCCGCTGCGATTAGGCGCATAATGAGGCGCGCTCCTTGACTTTGGAGCAGCAAGTGGCTGCCGCTTTTGACATTGACGCGCTCCGCGCTCAGCCAGTGAGTCAGTCAGTCATAATTAGCGTTGGGTATTTCGGCTGGGTGACATTATCGATGTATTTTTTGATTGAATGAAAGTTGAACTGTGTTTTTGAAAGTGAATTTCTGTAGCGGCAGAAGACGAAGCGAATCGAATCGCATCGAATTGAATCGAAAGCCCCTTCGATTTCGGCTCTTTCCGTGCCAGCAGAATATCGAAGACGAGCGTTAGACAATAGCCAAGACTCTTGGCCAGGCCAGGCCAGGCCAGGCCAGCGGCTGGCTGACTGGCTAGCTGGTTGGCATTTGGCTCGCTTGACATAACCACAACAAGCCACAACTCCCAGACGGGTTTTCCACTCGCTCTGCAAAAACTGGCTGCTCACATTTGGTCAAATTTCACTTTTTCCTTTTATTTGTTCGCTGGCCCGACTGCAACTCTAGCCGCCGTTGGTGCGGCTTCTGCTGCAGCTGCTTTTTATGAAAATCATAGCAATCCAATCCAGTCACTCGGCTCAGAGCAGTGTCAGCGCCAAATTTGGAGTGCACCAGTTGAATGTAGTTGAGTTAATTGTAAGCGACACTGCCGCGACGGCTGATCTTTGCTCATAACGCGCTGGCGGAATGGTACTGCACTCTTTGTTTTGGCCAAAACAAAACACTTCTCGCCAAGAAGCGGGGACACGGTCATGTCTCAATTAAAGCAACCTACGGTGCTCGGTTCGGTGACAAATTGCAGAGGCTGAGAGGCTGCCATCGGTATTCGAAGCAGCAGCAGCAAGTGGCTGCAATTTTCGCACCATAAACGTGGAAGTGGTCCGCTGTCAAAGCTTTGAAGTGACAGCGGCCTTGCGCAGTCTTTGAAATGAAGAGTGGTTTGGGAATGGGCGGAAGGTCTGCTATTGAAACCTCTAACTCTCCTCCTCTCTCTCGTTTTAGCCAATCGAAATGGGAGGCAGTCGCAGCTTCGCGTTGCTTCTCCTGCTGCTGTGTGTGGCAGCAGCTTCTGCGAGCGGAGAACCAACCACGGAGACTCCCTCGGCTCTGCTGCCCCTGGAGGCGCGAAATGCCGATGGGTCCGGCGAGGAGGACGTCATCTCTACCAGCTATGTGCTCCCCAATCAGATTTTCAACGAGGGAAAGCCCTATTATCCCCGTCAGGATCCTGTGTCCGGACAGCTGGACTTTAGTGCCAAAAAGCCTGCGGGTATCCAGCCGGAGGCCAATGAGGTCTTGGATCCCAACGAGAAGATCGTGCTGAGCGGAGCCAGTTCGCCCAACATCCATGATTTCCTCAACCTGCCCGTAAAGTACTCCTCATCGAAGTTCGTCTATCCCCTGGTCTCCAGTTCGTACGCCAACTTGAAGTACCAGGGCAGCAACAAGAACTACATCACCAACAAGAAGCCCACTTCCGTGGTGGCTCCAGTCACGCCACCCCCGCCCAATTACCACAGCTCCAACTTCTTCACGGTGCCCACCACCAAGCTCACTGCAGTGACGCCTACGGCCGGGGCTTACTATCCCGGCAGCAGCTCCACTACGTCCACAACTACTACAACAACTACAACGACAACCACTCGGGGAACTCTGCCGCCCTCGAGGAGACCGGTGAGCACCACCACGACCACAACTGCAGAGCCAACGAGTCCCGCGGCCAAGTATACCACTACCTCGCGCCGGCCTATTCCAGTGCACACGGCCTCCACGACGCCCCAACCGCCGCGTACCAGTACCACCCGCAGGAAGTTTGTGCCCACCAAGAAGTACAGCCCCACCGTACCCAGCTCTACGGCCAGGCCCCTGCTCACCCAGGAGGAGCAGCGTCCATTGAAGACACCTCAGTCTCCCCGGCCCACTCCTAGCAGCAGCGATGTTGCCTTTACCACCCACCACGCCACGCCGCAGGCCGCCATCTTTCCTACAGAGCCAGCCACAACCACCAAGATGTACACCACCTCAAGCACGAGCCCGCCAGTGGTTTTCACCGAAGGTCCGACGCCGCCGCCCGCTTTTAGTCCCATTCCTGGAGCTGGAACTGGTATTCACAACCTGGATCCAGCGGATGTTTACCACACGCTGGGCCAAAAGAACACGCAGGCCGAGGAGCAGCAACTGGAGAAGCAGCAGCAGCAGCTGCAGCATCAACAGCAACTGTTGCAACAGCAGCAATATCAAGAGCAGCAGCAGCAGCAGCAATACCAGCAGCAACAATACCAGCAGCAACTAGAGAAGCAGCAACTGGAAAAGCAGAAGCACCCATACCAGCAGCAACTGGAAAAACAGCAGCATGAGCAGCAGCAACATCATCAGCAGCAGCCCCTGCCCCAGCCTCAGCCCCCCAACCAGCCACAGCGACCGACTCCCCCCAAGCCCCCAATGACCCTCAGCGATATATTCAACAGCCTGGCCGAGGAAGAGTCCAATGTGGCGCACAACTACCAGCAGAACCAGGGATTCGATGCCCAGGGCAACCTCATTGAGCCTATTGCTCCCTCCAAGCCATCCCCCTTCGCCATGCAGCAGCCAGGATCACAACAGCAGCAGCAGCGACCAGCTAATGCCAACGACCAGAAGGTGATCTCCGGCAGTCAGGAGAACTACAGCAACGAGTACGTGTCCTACCAGGTGCAGCAGCCCAACGTGATGCAGTACCGACCAGCGCCGGGCAAGATCAACAACGTGGTCATATCTCCGGGCCAGCAGTCGGCCTCCTTTGTGCTCGGCAGCCAGGTGCAGCAGGTGAGCGTGGGCCACCCAAGCGTGGAGAAGGAGACGATGTTTGCCAAGGACACGCCGGGTGTGCAGTACGGTCAGGTGATCAACGAGGACATCGGCAACATCAAGCGCCCTATCAAGGAGCCAGCGGTGCCCACCAGCTACCAGCAGATGCCGAGTCTGCAGCAGAACTCCAACTTCCATCAGAACGGTAATGCTGGCACACCAGGAACACCTGGAGCTGCTTCCTACCAAGAGCCACCGCCGGAGGCTCCCAGTCCGTACCAGCAGCTGCCCCTGATCGGCTCCAACAAGCGGCCATCCAAGAAGCCTGCGGCCAAGCCGGAACCGATCAACCAGGCTTATCCACCTCCGCCTCCCCCGACGCCACATCAGCCTCAGACTACGCCGCCGGCAGTGGACGCACACGTAGATGAAACCAAGGAGCTCCTGGTCTCCACAAACATTCGGTTTCCCGCCCAGGGTGAAGAGTCCGTGGAGCTATCCTCCTCAGCTGTGATGCCAGGCCCGCCGGCTGGACCACACATCAATGGCCATGCCCAGCCTCTCAGCCTGCAGCAGATCCAGAACTCCAATCCAGTTGTTTTCCCCAAGGTCAAGGATGAAGCAGCTCCCGGCAGCGTGCAGATACAGCAGCATGAAGTGCTCAACCTGAGTCAGCAGAAACCACCATTGGTGAGTCCCTTTTTATGAGGTTGTAACTTGTATTAATCTCCACTTATCTTCCTAGAAATTCCCTGCTCAGCAACCTGGGCTTGGCGAGCTGCCTTCCCGCGACATGGAGCCTCCGCCACGATACCCAACCACGCAGCAAGTGCCCCAAGCACCACCCACTCCAGGCAAGCGACCTCCAGCAGCCTTCTACAACGAGTTTAACCGGAAGCCCCAGAACCGTCCGCGTCCCAGCAACCTGCCCAACATTCTGCCGCAGTTCCGACCGAACGCTAAAATCTCCAGCGGTCATCCGCCGGCGTTGAAGCAGGAAGCAGGCAACATCCGGCTGCCCCAGCAGGGTGGTCCTAAGCGTCCTTACAATCCCTCCGTGCCGCCACAGTTTGCCCATCGTCGCCAGCCCCTGCACCAGCAGCAGCTGCAGCAGCAGATGCTGCAGAAGAGATATCCCATGAACCGCATCTCGGAGTATCCCGTAGGACCTAGTCCGGGGGGAGATTTGAACAGAAGGGTCTACAGGCTGCCCCCATACGGAGGCCAGAACGTGCCCTACCTTCCTGACCACATGTATCCTCGCCGACCTCACGGTCCTGGTCCACTGAGATCCGTTGATGGTTATCCCGCCGAGCGCCACGCTCCTTCGGCAGGCGGAGAGCCCTACAAGACCATAGACGCTGAAGCAGCAGCTGATTTCGAGGAGGAGGATCTGGTGATCAACGATCCGCCACAGCCTGTGACCCCCGGCAAGGATCGCAAGAGCGTGGAAGAGACGAAACTGGAACCCGTGGTGACGCTGCAGATGCTGCAATCGCAGAAGAAAGCCGTGAGTCTGCCCGGCGATGACACGGGCGCCGGCGAAATCCAGGTCACGGCCGACAACGATCCACAGGAAGCGGAGGCCTCCAAGCTCAGCCAGCAGAAGTTGGACCCCAGCGGACTGTACGTCGTGTTTCCCATGAAGGGATCGGAGAAGGGTCAGCCGGAGGGAGAGGCACCTTCAGCGCCGGCCGAGTACCAGAACACTCCATTCTCCGTGATCCGCGACCAGCCGCAGGAGCCGATCCTGAAGAACAAGAAGCCGCAGTCGCTGCAGCAGCAGAACAAGGCGCAGCAGGTGCCCAAGGAGAAGTTCCCCTATCCCATCGAGAAGCCAGATCCCTCGTACTCAGAACTCAACCCAGAGTCGCAGGGTGCTGTTCCTGGAGTACTCATCGCTCCCAGAATCATCACTGGAGCCCTTGGCACTGGAACGGAAACGCCCATAGCCATTGCATATACGCCCACGGAGCCGAGTCCATATCGTCAGGATCAGGGCCAAAAGTTCTCCAACATCAATTTGGCCACGTCGGTGATCAACGAGATCCGTCAGGATACCCAGACGGAGGAGGGCTTGAGCAGTGACTTTGATCTGCGCGGCCAGAACTTCGAGAAGGACTTCATGGCGCCCTTCTACCCCAGTTTGAGCCTGGGCGGAGCTAGTGGAGCTGCGGCCATCAACCCGGCGGCCCCGAGTAACTGGAACATCTTGCCCTCGACCACAGATCAGGCAATCTATGAGAAGAACAACATAAACCGGGCTGATGTCGGGACCCCGGATGACAAAAAAGTGGAGGAGGAGCAGCCCACTGCGAGTCCGCTGACGGCGGAGAAGAACTCTGAGCTGGACAGCTTCCAGCCACAGTTGCAGGGTGGATTCAAGCCCATTTATCCACCAGGCTACAAGCACGTGGAGCAGGTGGAGCAGGAAGAGATAGCTGGCGCCAAGAATGCTGCCTCCAATCAGCCACTGGCCCTGCCGCTGGTGGGCACCACAGCAAAGCCTTCCACGTCCGCTGCTCCCCTCAGTAGTAGCTCTAGCACATCATCTTCCACCTCATCAACAAGCTCAACGACATCGACGACTCATCAACCCGGAATAACGAAATCGGACGGCACAACATCATCCACCAAGGCCCCAGTGGTCAGTACGAAGCCCACGCAACGCAAGAAATCCAGCTTCGAGACGAGCCTGGCGGCGCTACTCTTCGGGGATGAGGACGAGGAGGAAGGAGCCCGAAAGTCCGCCGAGCTGCCAAAGCCCCAGGCCCAGGCCGGGCCCAGGAATGTGCCTCGCATGGGTCCCCGGAGCCTGACGCTTAGCTAAGGCGGAGCAAGGAGATTACCCCACACGCACCCACACTAGTTTAGTCCAATTTAGTTTGTATTATTTATTCAAAGTTCATGAGACAGCGGGGAGACGAATGCCCCCGCTTAGAGAGGTAGACCATGTGGTAATCTAGTTCTGTTCTACAGCTTATAGTTAGTAAGCTCTCCACCCAGATACACAGACCCACGCAGCCACCAATGACAATCCACATCCCGCAATCACAGCGACTTTTGCGAGTCTGATTTGAAATTTGGAAGCTTAAAACTTTCTCATTGGACTCCCGAATCGTCGGAAATGAGATAAAAGCTTTTTTGTAATCAATTTAACACAAGCCTAAAAATAGTACTCTCTGTTTACCAGACTATATTGTACCATAGAAAACAATGCAAAATAAACTTAATTCTGATATATGTTGTTTAGTTTTCTATCTTTAATTAATTTAGTTTCTGGATGGGCCTTTAATGTTTGTATACCTTGCAGTTTAAAATTTGGCAAACTAATTTATTTTCTAGTTCTTATTTACGAAAACTACATTTAAATAAAATAAAACAAGAAAGGAAGCTATCTTCGGCACGCCGAAGTTTGTATACCCTTGCAGATTGGTTTCGATGTTTATATTATAGATTTAACTGCTGAAAACACTCACAAAACAGAGTTTCATTAAATTTTACCTATACTTATTATGTTTACAGTTTGATGTTTCAGTTTTACATTCCCAGCTTTACATATTTTATACATTTACCGATCGCTTCTATGGCAGCTATATGATAGAGTTGTCAGATTTTTATAAAATTTATACCAAAATTCTAGAACAATAAAAAAAGCTTATATCTGAGAGTAGATAAACATACGTTGAAAAACAACGAAGCTATGTATAATTTGTATACCCTTGCAGGGTATTTTATTTCCAGTCCGAAGCTCATTACGCATTGAAGGAGTCATTTCCGACCCCATAAACCATATATATTCTTGAACAGCATTAGCAGGCACATCTTTCTGGCTAAGTCCGGAAGAAAAAAATTTTTAATCAATTTTTTGAAAATTTTATAAGGGGTTACATCATTAAAATTCTCAAAATTTGATAAAATTTTCAATTTCTAACTAAGTATGCAGATTTGTTAACCTTATAAAAACTAACATAACACCGCTTTCCGAATGCAAATTAAGGCATTTTTGACAGAGTTATGCATTTTTTAGTTTTTAATTTGCTATTTTTCTCTGTTCAATTATAGACTTTCCATCGTCATTGCCATCGCCATCGCTCCTAGTCATCAGTATCAGTAGACCTGACACCCACCCTGGACAAGAATCAAGGGAAAGGACCAACGACACACGCAAAAGGATGGTGGATAAGGGGTGGGAATGGAGGAATAGGGATCAGGAATCAGGTATAAGGAGAGAGCACCGACAGTCAGGTCTGCCGGCTCCTTTTACAACAAGAGCAACGAACACAACAAGCAACATTTTAATTTTAAAATACTTTATTTTATTCTATGTTAATGAACCTAAATAAAAACAATTAAATACATTATTTTATATTATTTTGTTTTATTTTATTTTACCTATATAAGAACAATGAAATGAGCATCACTGGTAGTAAGTGAGATGGCATTTTAATGCAAAATAGCTAGATGAGCATCACTGGCAGTTAGTGAAATGCCATTTTCTCCCAATAATGCAAAAAGCTAGATGCGCATTGTAGGAACCTGTACTTCCGAGAGAGCTCATCAAGTGGGCTTTGGATTTACATTTATGCTCGAACTGTCAATATAAAAGCTAAGGCAGTATTATTCGGTGAAGCAAAGGTGTGAGAATAAAGCGAGAAAACATACGTAACAATTTGTGTTATTAGTGTGAAAAACCGGGTTAATACATTGGCGACGAGGTAAATAAACACAAAATAGTGAAAGTGTATAAATTATTAAACGAAAAAAAAAAAAAAAAAAATTCAATTGCATCATCCTTTTAGGCACAGCATTTGTCACGTAGGTATGCATGAATATGTGAATATGCAAATGTGTCCTGACATATGTAAAGAAATTAAAGATGAGTGAAATGCAATCAAAGGAGGTTTTTGAAAAAATTTTTTTTTTATTAAAAAATAAAGAGAATACACGGTATACATGATATACATACATGTGGAAGAAAATTAAAATGTAGAGGCGCTAAAATGTGAAGAATTATCTGATAAAGATCAGAGGCAGTTAGCCACAAACTAAGCTGACAAAAGTCAAAGGCTGTTAAATAAAAAAAAAAAAATGTGAAGAATTATCTGACAAAGATCAGAGGCAGTTAGCCACAAACTAAGCTGACAAAAGTCAGAGACAGTTAAATAAAAAAAAAAAAATAAAAAAAAAAAAAAATAATCTGAAAAGAAGTTTTCAGAGGCAGTTAGCCACACACACACACTCACTAAGCTGACCAAGGTCAGGGGCAGTAGAGACAGACAAGCACCCACTAAGCTGACAAATGTCAGAGACGGTAAAATAAAAGAAAGGAAAACTAAAATAAGGGCAGTAGCCAGAAGGCAGATACATGTGTATAAATGTTGATCAATGTTGGTCAACGTATGTACATATAAATATATGCATGTTAAAGGAACTGATTAAGTGAAAGAAATTTAAAATTTATTTCAGATGAACGCGGAATTCATTAAACCATTCTTGTGCGAAAGCATTGACAAAGCACTGCTTTGTAGCGAGTGGGAGAAATGGTTGAGAGCATTCCACATCTACGTGGAATCAGAGGAGATTACTGCGGCCAAGAAAAAGAGGACGAAACTACTCCATCTAGGTGGAACGCAACTACAAGCAGTAGCGTTTTCACTACCCGACGCTTTGGTCGAATTCAACGAAGTTGAACAAAACAATGTATTCCAGGTATTGGTAGACAAGTTAACAGCGTTTTTCTCCCCAAAGAAAAACTCGTCCTTCGAAAGGCATATGTTCAGGAGTTTGACTCTATCTGATGACGAGAACTTTGCAAAATTTGTACTGCGTCTTAGACAACAAATTAAGAAGTGCGAGTTTGGTTCAACAAAAGCTGAGATGGAAGAAATTTGCCTTAAAGACAAAGTAATCGATGCATGGGCGTCGGGCGACCTAAAAAGAAAACTATTAGAGAAAGAACACTCATTGGATGAAGTAATTGAGGCTTGTCAAATTGACGAGGAAATAAAAAAGGAATCTGCGATGATGACAAGGAATACAGCGGAGCCGGTAAATAATGTCTCAACAAGTAAACCACAGCGAAATTCCGAATGCGGGAGATGTGGACGTGTTGACCACAAAGATGACTGCTCAACTTGTCCAGCTCGACAGTCGAAATGTAATCGTTGCGGTCGCCTTGGCCATTTTGGACGTAAATGTAGAACGAAGTTAAAAAGGGGACATTTTCAACCGAGATCGAGAAGCCAAGACGAAACATTTTCCTCAACAAAAAGGTCAAAGACGGAGAATTGTTTCAAAATCAATTGCGAAGATCAAGAAGAATGGATTAAATACCGGATTGGTGGGACAGACATATCTATGATTATTGATTCTGGTTCTCGCTATAATCTCATCTGTCAAGACGACTAGGTCATCCTAAAATGGAACGAAGCCACAATTTTCAACGTTCGCCCAAACTCACAGAACCAGTTCAAAGGTTATGCTTCAGACCAAATATTAAATGTAATTTGCGTATTTGAGGCATCAATTTCTGTTGGTAAACAAGCGGAAATGATTGCCTCCTTTTTCGTCATTGAAAAAGGGAAGCAGTCATTGCTGGGAAGAGAAACGGCCATTAAGTTGAATGTACTACGGCTGGGACTGCAGGTGAACCATATCCAGGAAGTATCAGTTTTTCCGACAAAGTCGGAAAGTTGACAGAGTCAAATTGGCAATAAATCATAACATAAAGCCAGTACAACAACCCATGCGAAGGATACCAGTCGCGCTGGAAGACAAGGTTCGCGATAAAATCCAGGATGCACTGAATGAAATATCATTGAACCTGTAAATGGACCCAGTGCCTGGATTTCGCCAATGGTTCTGGTTTTTAAAGAGAATGGGGACATCCGATTATGCCTGGATATGCGGCGAGCAAACCAAGCCATTCTGAGGGAAAATTATCCTTTACCGACATTTGAAGCGTTCATAACTCTACTTAAAGATGCTAGATATTTCTCAAGGCTGGACCTCAAGGATGCATACCACCAACTCGAGTTAGACGAGGAAAGTCGAGAAATAACAACGTTCATAACTCCTTTAGGACTATTTCGTTATAAGCGATTGATGTTTGGAGTCAACTCGGCGCCAGAGATTTTCCAGAGGAGACTTGAGCAAATACTGTCAGCAGCCACGAATGTCCTAAATTATATCGATGACATTATCGTTTTTGGAAAAACTGAGGATGAGCATGATGCGGCATTGGAAAGAGTTTCCGGCATTCTAAAAGAAAACAATGCGGTATTAAATGAAAAGAAATGTGTCTACAAAGCCTCTAAACTGACCTTTTTGGGACACATATTATCGAGCCAAGGCATTGAGGCCGATCCAGAGAAGATTAACACAATTAAATCTTTTCGTCCTCCAAAGAACAAGGAAGAGACCCGGAGTTTTCTAGGGCTAGTAACATATGTGGGAAAGTTTATCCCAGATTTAGCAAATAAAACTGACTCGCTGCGACGACTGCTCAGAAAGGATGAAAAGTTCATCTGGGGCGTTGAGGAACAGGATGCGTTTGACAGACTCAAATCATGCCTAGCGGATATTCCATAATTGCAGTACTTCGATCCAAAGCACAAAACACAGCTAATTGCTGACGCAAGCCCGGTTGCATTAGGAGCTGTTTTGCTACAATTTCATGGAGACAGGGTGCCGAAAATAAAATCCTTTGCTAGTCGAAGTCTGACAGATGTCGAAAAGCGCTATTCACAGACCGAAAAGGAAGGTCTATCATTAGTGTGAACAGTAGAACAATTTTTCTACTATCTAGCGGGTTTAGAGTTTGAACTGATAACCGATCATAAGCCACTGGAGACCATTTTCAAACCATCTTCGAAGCCACCGGAAGGATCGAAAGATGGCTCCTCCGCCTCCAAGCTTTCAAATTCGTAGTCAAGTATAAAGCTGGAAAGGAGAACATTGCGGATACTTTTTCGCGACTATGTAAAATAAACCCAGGATATTGCTACGACATGAAAGGCGAACATAGCATTCTACATGTAGTTGAAAACGCGACTCCGTCGTCTATGACTATAACTAAAATTGCAGAGAAAAGTACTCTCGACGAAGAGATAGTAGATGCAATGTCGTGCCTGCAGGATGAATCGTGGAACGCATCATCTTCAAACAGTCTGTTTCCGTTCAGACATGAACTCTCATTAATTGGATCCATAATGATGCGAGGAACCCGCATAGTCATTCCATCGTCGTTAAGACATGCGATCTTAATGTTGGCACACGAAGGTCATCCAGGCGAGTCGGCTATGAAACGGCGATTACGGTCCAAGGTATGGTAGCCACAAATAGATAGAGATGCGGAGAAATTTGTCAAATCCTGCAGAGATTGCATAATGGTATCACAAGTCTTAAACCCCACCGCGATGAAGCGAACAACATTTCCAGAGGGTCCATGGATTTATGTAGCTACCGACGTTTTGGGACCATTGCCAAACCACGAACACATTTTAGTTTTCATCGACTATTACTCCAGGTATATGGAATACCAATTTCTTAAATCGATCTCATCAATTTCGTTAATCAGAGCCATGAAAGAAATTTTCTCCAGATTAGGTTATGCTAAAAAGTTAAAAACTGACAATGGAAGACAATATGTCAGTACAGAATTTAAAGAATATTGTAAGCAATGCGGAATAGAGCAAGTAACATCGCCACCTTATTGGCCTCAAGCTAATGGGGAAGTTGAGAACATGAACAGATCGTTAGTGAAAAGGCTGAAAATTGCGTACACCAACAAGTTTAACCTCAAGGAAGAAATTCAATCATTTGTTATGATGTATAATGTTACTCCCCATGGAACCACAGGGTCTGCACCAACAGAATTGATGTTCAATCGAGTGATAAGAGACAAAATCCCGGGAGTTCAGGATTTGATAGGAGAATACAGTGATTCAGCAGAAAGAGACCGGGATTTAGTAAACAAACAGAAAGGGAAAGAATATGCCGACCAGAGGAGAGGGGCTAGGGAGATTGATGTTAAAGTAGGCGACAAGGTTTTTCTTAAATGTAATATTACCTCACAAACTTACACCGAATTTTGACATCACTGAATACGTCGTAGAAGGAAGAGAGGGAGATATTGTAAGAATAGCGGGTGGAGCCAAGACCTTGACAAGAAACGTGAGCCATGTGAAAAAGATTCCACCATTACAGTTACCAGCTGATACCGGCGATCACTCTTCACAATCCAGGAGTACAGGTGATGTTCTGCAGCCCTCCAACTTCAGGATACGGGAGATATCTAAGGAAATGGAAGCGACTACTGAGGCGACATCGGATTCCAAAGAAAGGGCTGAAGCTGAAGCTCGTCAATAAGGAAGGGATGTAGGAACCTGTACTTCCGAGAGAGCTCATCAAGTGGGCTTTGGATTTACATTTATGCTCGAACTGTCAATATAAAAGCTAAGGCAGTATTATTCGGTGAAGCAAAGGTGTGAGAATAAAGCGAGAAAACATACGTAACAATTTGTGTTATTAGTGTGAAAAACCGGGTTAATACACGCATCACTGCCGTTAAGCCTGGTTTTATAGCCTCCCAATATGGCAAAATAGCTAGATGAGCATCACTGCCCCATACAGCCCGATTTTATTGCCCCAATATTGCAAAATATAGCCAGATGAGCATCACTTATGCACATGCGCATCACTGATGCAAGTGAGCAAAATTTCTAAAATTTGGCCGCTTTCCAAACTGGGGTAACAGGCGAACAGAAACCAGCAGCAAGCAACTGAAAACTGGTTTAAACTGTTATAAAAACTTTTGGGCAAAAATAATAATTGGTATAAACTGTTATACTTCATTTTATGCATTTATACCTATTTGTTGCCGACAACAACAGCTTATGGCAACAACAACCGTTTAAAAACAACATCCCTACAGCAGCCCATCCAAATTTCCGAACATTTCCATGCAAATTTCCCGTTTCCCAAATTGGGGTAACAGGCAAACAGAAATCAGCAGCAAGCAACTGAAAACTGGTATAAACTGTTATAAAAAGTCCAAGTTTCGAACCATTTAGGAGCCGGCGCAAGTAAGCAGAGACTCAAACCTTTTGAATCCAAATTTAGGTGTTATTTTACAACTGCACCTGGTCACACTGAAACCGATCGTCGTTAAATTCAAATTCAAATTTTTCAGTTAAATTCAAATTCAAATTTGGCAGTTAAATTTAAATTCAAGTTTGGCAGTTAAATTCAAATTCAAATGTAGAATTTTTAAAATTTTTTAAAATATTTTAACTGCCAAACTTGAATTTAAATTTAACTGCCAAATTTGAATTTGAATTTAACTGAAAAATTTGAATTTGAATTTAACGACGATCGGTTTCAGTGTGACCAGGTGCAGTTGTAAAATAACACCTAAATTTGGATTCAAAAGGTTTGAGTCTCTGCTTACTTGCGCCGGCTCCTAAATGGTTCGAAACTTGGACTTTTTATAACAGTTTATACCAGTTTTCAGTTGCTTGCTGCTGATTTCTGTTCGCCTGTTACCCCAATTTGGGAAACGGGCAATTTGCATGGAAATGTTCAGAAATTTGGATGGGCTGCTGTAGGGATGTTGTTGTTAAAAGGTTGTTGTTGCCATAAGCTGTTGTTGTCGGCAACAAATAGGTATAAATGCATAAAATGAAGTATAACAGTTTATACCAATTATTATTTTTGCCCAAAAGTTTTTATAACCGTTTATACCAGTTTTCAGTTGCTTGCTGCTGGTTTCTGTTCGCCTGTTACCCCAGTTTGGAAAGCGGCCAAATTTTAGAAACTTTGCTCACTTGCATCAGTGATGCGCATGTGCATAAGTGATGCTCATCTGGCTATATTTTGCAATATTGGGGGCAATAAAATCGGGCTGTATGGGCCAGTGATGCTCATCTAGCTATTTTGCCATATTGGGAGGCTATAAAACCAGGCTTAACGGCAGTGATGCGCATCTAGCTTTTTGCATTATTGGGAGAAAATGGCATTTCACTAACTGCCAGTGATGCTCATCTAGCTATTTTGCATTAAAATGCCATCTCACTTACTACCAGTGATGCTCATTTCATTGTTCTTATATAGGTAAAATAAAATAAAACAAAATAATATAAAATAATGTATTTAATTGTTTTTATTTAGGTTCATTAACATAGAATAAAATAAAGTATTTTAAAATTAAAATGTTGCTTGTTGTGTTCGTTGCTCTTGTTGTAAAAGGAGCCGGCAGACCTGACTGTCGGTGCTCTCTCCTTATACCTGATTCCTGATCCCTATTCCTCCATTCCCACCCCTTATCCACCATCCTTTTGCGTGTGTCGTTGGTCCTTTCCCTTGATTCTTGTCCAGGGTGGGTGTCAGGTCTACTGATACTGATGACTAGGAGCGATGGCGATGGCAATGACGATGGAAAGTCTATAATTGAACAGAGAAAAATAGCAAATTAAAAACTAAAAAATGCATAACTCTGTCAAAAATGCCTTAATTTGCATTCGGAAAGCGGTGTTATGTTAGTTTTTATAAGGTTAACAAATCTGCATACTTAGTTAGAAATTGAAAATTTTATCAAATTTTGAGAATTTTAATGATGTAACCCCTTATAAAATTTTGAAAAAATTGATTAAAAATTTTTTTCTTCCGGACTTAGCCAGAAAGATGTGCCTGCTAATGCTGTTCAAGAATATATATGGTTTATGGGGTCGGAAATGACTCCTTCAATACGTAATGAGCTTCGGACTGGAAATAAAATACCCTGCAAGGGTATAAAAATTATAGCTTCGTAGTTTTTCAACGTATGTTTATCTACTCTCAGATATAAGCTTTTTTTTATTATTCTAGAATTTTGGTATATATTTTATAAAAATCGGACAACTATATCATATAGCTGCCATAGAAGCGATCGGTAAATGTATAAAATATGTAAAGCTGGGAATGTAAAACTGAAACTGTCAAACTGTAAACATAATAAGTATAGGTAAAATTTAATGAAGCTCTGTTTTGTGAGTGTTTTCAGCAGTTAAATCTATAATATAAACATCAAAACCAATCTGCAACGGCATGCCGAAGTTAGCTTCCTTTCTTGTTAATTTAAAATAATTAAGAAGTTTTTTAATATAAAAAATCAGATTTTATAATACAAAATAATATTTTTCTAAGTCAAGGAATCATTTCCGATCCCATAAACCATATATATTCTTGATCAGCATTAACATGCGAATCTTTCTAGACATGTCCGAAAGAAATCGATTTTTTGGCCATTTTTGCGAAATTTGATAAGGGGTTACATCATTAAAATTAGAAAATTGCCAAAAATTTTGATTTCTTAAAATTTTAAATTTGGTATGCAGTTTTTTTAAATTATTAAAAACGAACACAAAACTGCTTTCCGAATCGAAATTAATGCATTTTTGGCTTAGTTTTGATATATTTGAATTGTTACCTGCAAGGGTATACAAACTTTGGCTGGCCAAAGTTAGCTTTCTTTCTTGTTTTAAATAGGTAATAAAAAAAAAAAGCTATAAAATTATAAAAAATTTGAATGGCTGTGGTTCGCCTAATATAAGGACCTGATGAGGTCTAGTGTGTTTCCTATATTACCTGGTATTATAAATTTGTATCAAAATTAAATCCAAGCGACGCTATGCTATTTTGTTTATTTGAAATGTAATTTTTTCAAAACACTTAGGACAACAACTAACTTCAAAAAATTGAGCACAATCGTTTTGAGAGAAGCGTTAAAGTTACCGCTTGATGACTGCCGGCTTTTTTGGGAAAATGACGGCTTTGAATTTTGAATTTTAAATTTAATGTATTTTATTGTTTTTATTAAGGAAACCCTAAATTAAATAAAATTCAAATTTGGCAGTGAACAATGTATTTTCTTCTTTGGCGGGAAATTATCAAATTTATGAATTCAAATACGGGGGTTAAATAAATCTATGTTCTGGCTCCTATTAAAAAAAAATTAAATTAAATCAAATTGAAAATGCAAATTGATAAGTTTGACATACGACTTCTCTTTACATTTTACACGTTTGGAGGTTTATAGAAGATATAATTTGAGTTGCATACTTTTAGGCTTAGCATGAAGTCAATATCCCACAGAAAATGTACTTACACTTCAATTTGTAGTATTTTTCCCATAATATTCTCAAAATTAAAGGGTTTTTTCTATATCAGTATGTTTATTAAACGAGTACAATTCAGTTTTACAAAATTATTTGCTTTCGATTTGGTGACAGTTAAAAACCGAAACTGATTTCGTTCATATGTTTGCCTGGGATGGACTGCGATTTCAATGTTGATAATAATATATATAATAGAATACTTATGTTCGTGATAGACCTACATTGGTAAGTGCATTAAAATGTTTGATTGGCAACCGGAAGTGAATTTGTAATTCATGATTCTCTAATGTTTTGGCTTTGCTTAGAGCCCATTTAACAAGACGATGTGATGATGAGGTTGACGTGTTATGCTCGAATGGACGACTTCTTATATATCTCAACAATATCAGCTACTTATACTGCCAGAATTCGTATGTACACACCGTACTTTATTTACAGTTGCCACATAAATCTTCTCCCTAATCCATTGCTTCTGTTGAACAGACAGTGTCGCTACGTTGGTAAAGTAAAATATTCCTAATGATTCTCCGACCTACAATATGTGTATGTATATTTTGTCCTAACGTTAGTATAGTGGAAACTACTAGCCAATTGAAAAACGGTGGCTCAGTCTTCGCCTTGCTCTTGCAATATGTGTTATAATTGAAGTCTAATTGCAGCCAAAGTCCATAAAGTAAAACAGAAATCAAGTCGAATGGTAATACACTCGTTTAAAACCATCAATTGTTCAGCGATCGGCTGGCTCTGATGCATGTTTGTATACAAATGTATTTATTTGTAGTGCAGATAACCACATGTTTTGTAAATAAAGGAACTAAGCTAAAGTCCTATGCCGTAACTATGCCCACTGGGATTGGCCAATATGATAGGGGGTGTTCGTCTGTACAATTTTCGAAGGGGAAGCAGGGGTTGGGGTTTTAAGTCTTACAACCTCAAGTGGATAAGTCTATGTATGTAACCTTACAAGGTAATTAATCGCTACAGGTAAAATGTATGTATTGCAATATGCCATTTTATGTATATCATATATATATATATTTTTGTATTGTAATTTAAACATAATCGTTTTATACAGCGGTTGGACAAAATCAAATAAATAGAGCGGTAATCGTATGTGTAAATCTATCGTTACGAATAGCTATGCCATTTCCATAGGAGTATACCAGCGACAGGTTTAAATAATTAGAATAAATACTTTCCGCGATCGGTCTTACTCCAGCATACTCACTAATTTAGCATAGTATGTTTCTAGCGATGTACATTTTAGGGACTAGGAACCAGTACGACATATGATTATGTTTCGTTTATGCATTCGCATTTAAATGATAATTGGACACAATAAAAACGAATTGGTTTCTCTTACGGCTAGACGGGCATGCTTAATTCTTAGTAGAACAGTTTTGGCTTATTTGCAATTGCGCCCTATACACACTGACGGTAAGGAAATAAATATAAACTAAAGTACACTTGTTGTTTATATGCTAACTAACACAATTTTTTGGGCAATCAAATTCGCCATTACATCTTCATTCACACCTACCAAGGGCTGCTTTCCGCAGTGAAAGGATATAAGGGTATAAAGTTTACAGAATCCAGTAATGTTGCCGGGGCACTGAACAAAAAAAAAAATTTATGAATTGTAAGTGTTAATTGAATCCGGTGTGGTCTTTTCGCTAGCCGCCCTGCTGCTTCTTTTTATCAAAAATGGGCAGCTTTGATTTGACGGCTCCCTCGCACACCATCATCCGCTGCTGCGCCGGCTTCTTGTCCAGGTCGAAGCACAGGCCATCCGTGTTTAGGTGGCGCTTGAAGTCCGAGTAGCGACGCGCCTCATACGACAGGTAGTTGGACCCCAGCGCCGAAGCAGCCACGGCAGCGGCCACCGTTCCATTGCCGTTGCGATGGTGCATCGATGGCGGCGAGGAGTCCTGCCGCTTCCGCTCGAAATACTCCACTATCTTGGCTATCTGCGCCGATCGTGTGCTGGGCAGCGCCGTGAAGGAGCGCTCGTCCCACAGCAGGGAATCGGAGCCGGCCAGGCTGCTGATGTCGTCGGAACTGTCCGTGTAGATGGACGAGGTGCGGTTCTTGCAGTACAGAAGCTGGTTCGTTGCGAACGGGTGGCGTTGCAGCAGCGTGTGAATCTCCGAGTCCAGGGCCAATCGATTGATCAGACCCGCCGTGGCGGCCATCTGGGGATCGCTGCCGTTGCCGCTGAGCAGGGCGTGGTGGCAGGTGTAACGTCGTTGGTGTGTTGGCCGCGAAGCCACAATATCGGCGTCTAGGTCGTCCATCGAGTCCAGGGCTGTGGACGACGAGGTGTTTCCTCCAATTACAGCAGGATCGTTGTCGATTAGCAGCACAGACGGGGACGCTGTCGAGGAGGTGTCGTTGAGCAGATGACTCTGATGTTGCTGTTGGGCCGCGGCAGCGGCAGCAGTAACGGCGGCATTCGATGTGGAGGTGGCGTAGTAGCAGCAGCGACACAGACTCGCAAGTTTATCGCTGGAAGATAAGGAGATCTTGGTCAGTATGAGGCGATCAGGAATATACTTCAGGGATTTTCGGGTTGGTTCCTATAATTATCTTTATTCAAGTAAAGGGATTTATCTGCCATTTAGGGTAGTTTTTATTGAATATGGGAATCACTTACTTTATTTTTGGCGTTTAGGGATCAATATGTATGGCACGGCCCAAGGTGGCGTTTAACCTGAATATTTGGTAATTATTTCACTCAACGGTTTAAGCAAGAGTTTTCTAGTTCTACGTTTCATACAAAAAAAGGTTTCTAATCGAGTTTCAACAGGACAATGCAGTTTATTCTTGATAATGCAATGGTTTATGGGTCTCTACGTGTCCTTAAAAGTCATATACTCACTTGAGTTCACTGTTGGCGCTGCCACCTGTGTCGAGCAACAGCTGCGCCTTCAACTGCTCGTAGCAACAGTTGCTGCTACTGCTGCCCCCGCCGCCGCAACCAAACCCCAACGAGCCCATCCCGTTCAGCTGGCGGCCGAAGCTGCTGTTGGTTATCGCCGCATCCGACTCCTCGTTGAAGCACGAGAAGAAGCCGCTCTCGATGGAGTCGCGTCGCGTGAGGTTCGCCTTCAGTGGCAGCTGCTCGCACGAGTTCTTTAGCTCGCTCAAATCGCAGGTGTTCTTCACTTCGTCCAGGTCCAGATCCGTGCAGGAGGATACGGAGGCCGGGGTCTCCGTCAAGCGCGGAGTGGGTGACACCAAGGCCACCGTGGCCGCTGCTACCGCACTGGAATTAGTTTGTTCTTTGGATTTCTTGGCGCTGTCAGTCAGATCCTCGCAGGAATTGGATGCCCCAGCTGTGGAGGCCGTCAACGTGACCGTGGAGGCGCTGGCCTTCAGCAGAGCCGGACTCTCGAACTCGCCGGTGCTGGCGCTCTTCAGGCCACTACTAGTGCCAGGGGTGGTGCCCCGAAAGAGCGGGTGCGTGTACAGGGAATTCGCTCTGTATTTACGGACAGTTGGCACGGTAGCTGGGCGCACGGCGCTGTCATCGCTGCTGGACTCTGCATCCGCACAGTTCCCACCGCCATCAGGATCCTCGCCCTCTGAGTTACAGTCATCGCAGTCGTCCTCATCCGGCGGCAATGCTGCTGCTGCTGCTGGCGGATTGCTCGCTGGTGCAGCATTGCTGATCCGCTGGGGCAGCCGCAGCTCTATGGCGCTGTACTTGCGCGTCAGATGCGGCGAAACCGGCAGGCTCTTTGGTTCACTGGGTGTAGCTGCCGTGGTTGCGGCTGCCGTTGTGGAAACTCCCTCATCCTGGAGTCCACCCCCCTGGACCGCCGCCTTGCTCTGCATAGCGGCCAGCTCCTTGAAGAACGGTGCCAATGTCTCGAAGCAAGAGCTGAACAGATCCCCAACACCTGCTGCATAAGTCTTTGGATTGGCGTCCAGGATCTTCTTGACGCCTCGAAGCTGTGCCAGCGCTTCGAACGGATTCGGTTTCGAGCCATTGTGATCCTTGCCAGTCGTCGGCTTGTACTGCGGATCCTTTAAGCACATCGTTTCGCCCACTTTGCGCAACGTAAGGACTGCGGGAATTGGCTTAGGGAGAGGCGGGGGTTCCGGAATCGCCGTGGCGGGTAACTGAACCGAAGCCAGCTGCCTCGGAGGCGTCGGGGAGTGCGTGGAAGAGCGCTGGCGCTGCATCTGGTGACACCGCGCCTTGTCGCTTGGCGACGTATGCATGGGAAAGTGGATGATGTTCTCGCTCAGAGAGCGACGATGCAGCAGGATCTCGGCTTCCAGTTTCTGGGTGGCGCGCCGTACCCGCGATTGCTGTATGTGATCGTCGAAGCCACTGCTACCGGCGGATCCATTAGGCGTTCCTGGTAACGCAGCCGAGGCGCACTTTTTACTAGGGAAACGGAATCCCTCCTCGTCCACCTCTCGCAGGTGGCGCGGTGTCAAAGTGCCTGCCGGGGCCGTGCATATGGTGGCCACCGTGGGCTCCGCCAAAGTGCGGGGCGTTGCTATTGCCGTAGTATTCTCCGAATCACTGCCTCCCGGCGAGCAGTTGATCAGCTCTAAGGAGCTAAGTGGACTAGCTCCCGCCGACGACTCGTGCTCGTACTTCTCCAGGAGCAGCGTTAGCTTTTTTGTGGCATCATGGAAAGTGGGCCGGCTCTTAGGGTCGTACTGCAAGCGAAAGAGAGGATTAGAATTGGTAAATCTTCAAGCTAAGGGGATGATGATTCACTTACCAGGCAGCAGTAGAAGGCCAGGCGGAGAAACACGGGGGGTGTGTCCATGGGACACAACTCGACAAAGGCCAGGTAGTCCAGGCCAAACGGTGCAGTGCGCGGCATCAGGTCCGGATCCGCTTCGATGCGGGCAATGATCTCGCACTGGATGATGCCGAAGGAGAAGACGTCGCTCGTCTGGTCATACCACTGGCCCTTCAGGCACTCCGGACTGACCCAATACGGTGAGCCGACGGTCTCGAGGCGTGACTTTCTCCTACAAATGAGTAAAAGGATATAGATGAGTGTTATGTTCTGTTGTCAGAGGAGCCACTTACGTTTTCTCGGGTATATTTGCGGCCAGGCCAAAGTCACCCACAACGGCTTCATACTGATCGTTGGCCAGATTGCGAATAAGTACATTCTGCAGGGAAAACATGAATTAATCAGCTGAAAATGATGCTAATCAGCAGAAAGCACTCACCTTGCTCGTCAGATCTCTGTGGAAGATGCCGGCATCGTGGACGTAGGCCATGCCGCGCGCTATACCCAGCGCCAGTCTTATCTTCTGCGTGGCGCTAAGCACCACCTCCTTGTTGGCCAGCAGCTGCTCCAGGGAGCCGCCGTTGATGTACTCGGTGAGGGCGTGCAGTTGGCCCTCCTGCACACAGACGCCCATGAAGCTGAAAGAAGGAAAACGGACGGTTAGCACAAGTTTTCCACTGCAAAGAAACTAAGTTTACCCCGAATAAGTTTCACTTTCAATCACCCAAGTTGACAGGCACTGCAACTCTCCGATTCCCCGATTCCCCACCTTGCTTATCGCCGGTCGACATGCAATCAGCCACCCCCCATCGACTGGGTTTTGGTTAGCATTGTTTCAGCCTTGATTCGCTGCAAAATAAATTAGCGTTTCGATGCCCCGATGCACGCAATAAAAAGAGAAAGTTTTCCCTTGACTACTGGTCAGGTCCAGACCTATGGAGTGGCGTCCCCCAGGACTTAAAGAACAAAGGAGCCACTTCCCAAGTCCTCATCATCTCCGCTTCCTACTCAGACGGCAATGTCAATGACTCTATCTCCCCAGCCTATGTTAAGAGGCTCAGCTAGAAGTTAGAGGGGCGGCTGCAGGACAAGCTGAGGTCACCAGGCTTGGGAACCGGAACTGTAAGCTTATTAAGAGACTGGCAACGCATGCGTCTGCCTACCGCCAACTCCTTCTTTAACAGAGGAAGTGTGTGCAGTCAGGTAAAGAAGGTTAACAACGACAGCCAGACGGGCCTCTGAGAGCGATGCTTTCAGGTGACAATGAACTCTGTGTAAACTAAGTTGGCTGGAACATATAAAACAAGCTTGTAACTAGACACCTTAAGCCAGAAAATATGCCAAGATTCAGAAATATATAAACTAATACAAATAATAAACTTATAAAGGAAATGTAAAGAATTTCCATACATGAAACTCTGGCTCCTACTTCTGAAAATATGTATATGTAAATATAGAAGCTATTCGCAACCGATTGGCGCATGTGACTCTGGTCCCGTGCAGGTGTTCAATACCAATGCCTGTTCGATAAGGGTTCTCTTCGCACTGGCCTAATCGGACGATTGGGCTTATCTCGGGCACATGCTCCATTTGCCGGCCAGTCCCCGTTTAAAGCCATGGCCCAAAGCATTTGCCAAATTGTACGAAACTTTGCGTATTCGTCGTCGTGTGCCAGATAAGCTATATCTTTTGCCCGTCATGCAGTTTTGCGGTTCTTAACTATTGTATAAGAAGAAGTCAAGTGGCCTTTGGCAGCTTTGATTTATGTTAACCCAGATGGCCGATTGGGCCATTAATTTTCACTTATAGTAAAAATTAATTTCATTAGGTTAACCGCAGCGCATCAAGTCCTTAATAAATTTCGCAAACGCCGAGCAGCGGAAATAATTGCTTTGAGCACGCAACCTGTCGCCCCGGACACCTTTCACTCCGGCTGTCAATGAGGCCTCGACAGGGCTGCCTGTCTCCGGGGTGCGTCAGGGCAATCAAATGTTATGGCCACCCGCCTTCAGCCCATCCACCACACCCAGCCATGTGCTTGTTCCCATTATTACCCAGGGGTCTCGGCGCATTAACATACTACCTGAAAAGGGGTTGGTCTTGCCAGGACCACCTGTTGCATCGCCTTCCGCCGGGGTTTATTGACTTGCGTGATATGCGGCGTCAGGAATCACAGCAGCCAGATATAATCAGTGCCACCCACCACCCTTCAATGCAAAGCAGCTTAATTGAAACCAGCTTGGTAAACCAGCGGCATTGCGGCAATCAAACTTGGACACTTGGCCTCAGGTTATAGGAAGGCAAGCTCTAACCATAAAAAATTCTTGTTGGGGTAGAAATAACGCAGTAAATACCATTGCCATGTTGAATACTGCTCTAAATTAATTATTTAAATAAACAAGTTTACTTAGAAATATCTCTGGAATATCCAGAGATCCTCAAAATCCAGCTGAGGCAAGTTTGGCTGTTAACAAAACGCTATTACGCTGCACAAAAAAATAAAACAAGATTGGAAGTGTCTTGGCCAGAAGGGGATGACCCTTTTGAGATGCATGATAGATGCCACGCCAGTGTGTGGCAGACACATGTCAGCCCTTCAGACAGCCCAAGGGCTCGGGGCTCTGGCTCGGATGTGAAATGAAGTTATCACAAAAGACGCAAGACCCACAGCGGCCAGGCCCTCGATTCCAGGTGTTGAAAGCCGTCGTCTGAGTTACATCCTACTCTCGAGTAGTGGGCACAAACACACACCTTCGTGCTTCAAGGCTTCTCCTTCTCGTGACCGTGGGTGCAGGCTGCAGCACATCCATTTGCATGGTATTTACGGTTCTAATTCAATTTATTTCCCTGCGTGATGCACGATTAGCGCCTCGAGCGAGTGCCTGCCCCATCCCCGTTCCCAATCCCGATCCCTTTTCCTGCCCATTAGCGGCTTACATTAATCGGCTTTGCCGCCCGTAAACGCCTTTAATGTGCGCTTTAAGCCGCACTCTCAACTCAACGCGGATTTTGGGTTTGAGATGCGCTCACAGAAGGGATTTAATTTGGAAACAAGATCTTTTTTATTGCAAACCCAAAGAGTAAACAAATAAGGCAAGCAAAAAAATAAATGAAAGTTGCTACCGAAAAGCACGAAAAGTACTTTGCTAATTGGGCAATTAATTTATTTCGCATTCATCAGCCAGCCAGGGTGCAAACGATGTTATTTTCGGAACGCGATAAGATTTATTAATTATCCAAAAGCGTAAACAAAGCCTTGTACTCTGTAGGTTCAGTGACACCGAGAAGAACTGGCTGCAGATGCAAATCAGTTTTTGGTCCAGAAGCTCTAGGCAAAGGTGTCGCCTCTATCCTCCAGGAAACGAATGCACAGTTGAGGGCTCTTCATAGCGAGCAGGAAGCTGGAGGAACTACTCAAGCGGCTATAAACCTCTTGCTGGTCTTTAGCATTGTTCTCAGTTTAGGTGGAGTTTAGGTTTTCTATTTCGCTTCTTTTTTTTTTTTTGTCTTTTCCGGCTCGCTATGGGTGTTACAGTATTTGCTACGAGCATATTACAGCAGTTTTCCCGGGAAAACGGCTTCGTCGCTGTCGTTGGCAGCCGGCATTCGGCATTTCTCTTGCAAGTCGCAATGAAAACCATAAATTGACACGTTTGCACGTTTCTCTCGGAGATGGAGATGGAGAGACTGCGCCAATTGGTTTCCCAGACTTTGCGCAGACGGATCCATCGTCCAGAGCCGCTAACTGCCGCTGGCCGGGCTAATAAAATGCAAAGTACCGCTCGGAATTCTTTCACTTGCAAGTTGCTGGGTGTTGCAACTGCTGTGGTTGGTTTGTTGGCAAATCAAACTGGAGCATAAAAGCATTTGGCGCTTAATTGAAAATTATTACCACAACATCAGGGGAAACTGCAACTGAAATTGCAAGCGGCAGCGGCGGCACGATCGGGGGTTAAAAGGTTGACACAAAGCAAACAAAGTTTGCTTTTGGGCAAACAACAAATAAGCCAGGCCCAAGACCAGGCCCAGACCCAAAACCCAGTCCCAAATCCAAGCCCAACGAGACGGTGGCAGTGGAGCAGGCCGGGGGCGTGGCAATGGGCGTTATAAACGCTCCTAAACGCTGCCAACTGCAATTACCATTCGGCAGTCGAGCAGCAACAGAGCGCACATTTCGAAATGAAATGATTGAATTTGCTTTTCAATTAGAAAAATATGCAAAACGTGATGCGAAAATTATGCAGATTGCAGCTGCAACTTACAGCCTCTCGCAGAAGCAGCAGCAGCAGCTTCCTCTTCTTGTTTCAGCCGCTGACCGATATTGCGATTTCCCGATTTCCGAGCCAAAATAGTGGAACACAAAAAAACAAGAAAAAAGAAAACGTTGCTGCAGTCGACAAAAAAGCAAAAAGAAAGCGCATGTATGGGTGTTGCATAAATCTGAATATCTAATGCTCCTCTACGCGCTCTTTGTTGTGCAAAATTGATTGAAGTGTATTGAAATTGATTGAAAGTTGATGACATAATTTCGTACGAAACGGACAGAGACAATGGCCAAACGCAAACGCAAATTGGAAGTGAATGTTGGCCAAAAGCCGCCACCCCGTTTGTCCGTTGGGTGAGAGATGCTTTATGGGACAGCAGACGATGGTTTACCATTTGATGGCTTTATTTTTTCATGCGGAAGTTGACAATTACCAAGTGTGATTTATGCGGACAAATATCGCACGATTTATCGCTTCGATACAAACTAAATCCCAACTGATGCAGTTAGCTTTTGAGTGATTAATTGCTGTAAAGAAACTTGTTACATGGCAGCGGCAAGCAACTGACAACGGGATGGAATGCCGTGTAGCTCATTAAATTCCAATCTGTATCTGCATCTGGGCATTATGCATCTGCCAGATACTCGCGCATATTACTCACTTTTTCGGTGGCCCCATCAGCACAATCCTTCACTGCTCTGCTTTTTTATATTCGTATTGTGCTTCTTACATGTGTTAGCACTTACAAAGACATCACAATGTAACACACAGCGGGTTCAATGACTCGCCAGTGCGTCGCACTGCGTTGTTTTGTAGTTGATTTTCTTTTATTTTTTTTTTTCTTGGTTTTGTTGGGCTGAGACATAAAGCATTACCAAAATATATGTATAAGAAATAAATAAAGTGCCTCCCGCCCCAATTTTGGGTCAGTGAGTTCAGTTCGCCAGTTGGCAATTCGAATAAAAACATAGGTATATGCCAAAAAGCACAAACCCCCCATGAATACATAGATGAGGCATCGATAATTGTAGGCTTTATGAATTCCTAATTTTGCGTTTTCTATAAAAAGGGTACACACAAAGAAATTAAGCTTGAATAATTAAGATTTTTGATAAATACTGGACAACTATTCCTAATATTGCAATATGATTTCTCCACACAAAATTGAAAATTAATTTAAATATTTTTTTCAGATCATAGAGATCCTAAAAAGAATTCCTTTAAAATAGAATTATTTTTGGTACTATTTTCCTTTTAATTATTAATTATAGGAATGTTTCAAAATAATCCTAAAATCGGGTTAATTTTTACCCATTTAAATATAGCCAGCACCTGCTTACTATAAATAGCCACTCAAAATCCGTGATGCAAATGCTGAGTAAACACTGCAAATCAGCCTTAGCAATAGCTATTGACGTCAATTCGATCCAATCCAGATCGAACAACCTGATCTCGGGCGAATGCAGCAGCTAGCTGCCTAATGAAATTGCTCGCGACATTTTACCAGGCCATGATGTTGTGTTGCCGATCATCAATCAGAAATTAACCCAATTTAGCTTTCTTGGAGCAGCGTCAATTACTGATACCCGGGCATACTCCCATACGAATCGATTGACAAGCGATCGGCGATGGCAGGAGCCGGCTGTAAGCCGAGGCGAGCAGACACGGAGCTGTATCAGCTGAGCTGATAAAAGTGCGCTGCTGCAGGTACACAAACGAGTACGAGTAGTAGCCAACCAGTCTGGCAGTCGTCGTGTATCCATTAGGCAATAAAAAGAAATGTTTATGTGGCCGCAATCATGACACGCTCTCTTTCGGCTTCTTGGCGATGCCATGTTGCTGCTGCAACTTGTCAAAGTCGAGGAGACTCCACTCTAGAAACTGGAAATGAAGGACTCAATTTGGCCACAAGTCGAATTCCCCATTAAATGCTTAAGAGGCGCGGATTTGCGATTCATGAATGACCAATTTGGCCCATCTTGCACAATGAAATTCTCATTAAATTGTCAACGATTTCTGCTCATTCTCGGCAATCTTTTCATTAGCCCCACAGGCAGTAGCAGCGAAGACACAGACAAAATGCGCCACTGGGCGCCCGCCGTTCGCCTCAAGGCCAGCGATTTCAGTTTATTGGCAAGCATATTATGAACGGAGGGAACGGACATGGCGACGGCGGCACACACAAATCAAGCCAAGACAAATAATGGCCGAGACAACAATGTGCAGTGCGGCGGCGTTGAAAAAGGCGGCTTGTGGCAGGCACATCACATATCACATACTGAAAGGCATATATATACAACGACCTTCAGTCATCACAAGATGAGTGGATCGAGCTATCGACACATTCAATTAAGTGCAATCTGACCTCAGTTGCAATGCAGCCTGACGCCAACGCCGGGCTTATCGGTGGTGCAATGTAGCACCGCCCTCATCCCAGAAACGGGGTTAAAAGCGTGAGATTTTGACTCCAGCAACACCTCAGTGAAGTCGTTAACCCGCGCTCACACACAACACACATTTGCATGCCAACAATTTGTCAACATTTGCCCACAACTTATCACCTGCTTAGCATCGCAGCCAGATCAAGTGCCGCCACAGCAGCAGAAACAGCAGCACTTTTAGCTCTTGCGGAATTTCTGCCATTGTTTGTGCCCGTAATGAGTCGGGCCAAGAACTGTGACATGTCTTACGCGGGCTTAGTCGCGTTAAATGAGCGTTTAAATGGCTCTGAGCCAACGGCAGCATGTTTTTCTTTCCCCATGCATCGCACTTACTACAAGTGGAGTTAATAATAAAGAGAAAGAAAAAATACAAATAAAAATAAAAGTGTGGAGAACCCGGTGCCCCATTGTCATCACTGTTTACATGCTACATTTCAGTGATTGTTTAAATTATGATTTTAGACAAATTCTATAAAAATTATTGAAAATCTTGCTTACATTAAGGACTCCATGATCATATCAAGAAAACTTTATATTTATTCCCATAATTAAGCCAGGTTCTGATAGTATATCAATAAGGATTTATATCCTACCTAACATATTATATTTAAATAAATAATACAAAACATATAAGTGATCCAATGTTCTCTGCAGTGCACAGTGCTGCCAGGTAAGTGGAGTGACTATCTGTCAGTTTGGCGGTGGCCTGGGAGCGGCGACACCCATGTGGGTGAGTGGGTTGTGTGCTACACCGTTTCCCACTGGAGGGCAGAGCGGAGTCGGCTGCCTGACTAGCTGGATGTGGCTGCCTGTTTTCATTGTGCGACATTCCGTAGTAAGGCAGGCGCCTGATAAGCCCATAAAAAGTGCAGTACATATACCCACCCAACCTGGCCGGGGAGTGTGTGAGTTTCGGTTTACGTTTCGTGGCCAATAAGTCACTGATTCGGGTGTGGGCGAACATAGCATATATGCTATATATATGGGAACTCTGGCACACTCGGCATGCTGCCGGCTAGAAAGGCGGTTTCAATTACCCAAGATTAGTTCTATTGACGCTCGGCTGCACTGCCCTGCCCGCCTCTCTGAAGCGAGGAGGATGCAACGGTACACAGCCAATCAATAGGCTTCATTAGCCGGACTCTGCCAGCCGGAGATGGCGATGGGGCGCTGTGATCCGCCATGGGAGGCGGTGGTAACAGCGATGAAGCGATGCAGTGGCCCGCATGGACGCCCAGCGGTGTAGCTGTTAAAATTTGACAGTTAGCCGACAGCCGCGATCGTTAGGCATCATTAAACATGCCCGCCAACAAGAGCAGCGCCTAACTAACTGCCAGTCAGTCAGGCATCTAGGCAGTCAGTCAGTCAGTCATCTAGCCGAGCTGGGAGCGGAGTGTTTAGCGATCCACGTCACTGATAAAGTCACAATCGCGGATCGAGGATTGCGGATCTAAGCTAAGTTCAATCGGGTGGAACTATACCCATATGGGTGCACTGAGGGAAATGAAAACGATGCTAAACAAAGAGCCTCTATTAGTCAAACCTTTTTCTAACCCTTCTTTCTAATGATTATAATTATTCCCAATTAAACCTCTTATATTCCAGTGTCATATTTATTAGCCAGAAGTATTATATACGTACTAGCTGTGTTCTGCCATAAAACAGAGAACTATATGCGTGTGGCTGCATTTTAATTTCACTATCCAGTATCCAGTCGACCCGCTGGCGCCATAGCTGCATTCCGGACTCTGGAGTTTTTTCAGAATTTTCATTTAATGCCCCCACGAATAAAGAAAAGTTGGCAGCTGCAGTCGCCGGCGAGGTTGTTATTTGTTATTTCTGGTGCCTGGCCGTTCCGCTGACCCAAATCCATCTCTCAGCGAGCCGGGCACACACAGCAAAATGAGTTGGCCAGGGCATTTAATCAGCGGAATCCGTTGCATTTAATACCCCGGACAGCGATGACAGACGTCATAAAAGTCAGGTGAGTTCTGGACTCTGGGAGGGGATATAGTCTAGGTGGGATTGCCGCCATCATAGCGGAATCTCTTTGGGATTATGTGAGGTTAAAGTTTGAGTAGCTGCAGGCTACGAAGAATGGCAACTAATAAAAGACATGTTTCTTCCCCATTTTCGGGGTGTTAACATTGTAAATGAAAGGGCGGGGCCGAAATGCAGAGAGGTCTAAGCCAGAGTTTGCATATTCATGGGATTGCAGGAAAAGATGGGCGTAGCAAGGTGGATCGGCTTGGAGGGGAGGAAAAAAATAACTAAAATAGAAAACAGCAAAAAATAAAAGTCCCTGGGAAGTGCATACAATTGAAGTCGCTTCACTGTTGCGTGCAGTCACGTGAGGATGAGGCAAGCAAATCACGAAAAGGCACAAATGAATCCGAAAAACAACCAGTGAAGTGAGTAAGCTACGCAGCTTGGCAATTATATCTAGTCGTCGTCGTCGTTGGCGTCCCCAGACACATTGTTTCAGACCTCGCAATTACATCAGCAGTTTCAGTGTGACCCGTGAGAGGGTCCACCAGACAGCCAATAGCCTCCGCCGCCCCTCGAACACACCTGGTCACTGCCAAGGTAATTACAGCAGCAGCAGTTGCCACTACAGCAGCTCCTGAACTTGACCTTTCGGTGGCAGCCACGGGCATCGGAAATGTGTGTTTGGTCTTGAACTCGCACTCAAACACGAACTCGAACTCGAACTGGAACTCTTTAAAAATGCCAGTTGAAATAAATAAAAAGAATGGCAAATAAACAAACAACCATTTCGTTTCGGTAAACCGCAAATATTTGTTCAAAGCACATTGCCTTAAATAAGTTTACTTTCAATAAAAATAATAATAATCGAGTCCATAATAATGATGTCAGTTTAGTCAGCAGTCAGAACTTGCGGCAGACCTCGGTGAATCACTACTACTATATATGAACCATATATGAATGTTGTTTCAGCTTTAGCATAGGTCAGTTATTCTGATGATGCCAGAGCAAGTACACAAATTGTGTGTTAAATATGCGAAACTGAATTGAATCTGACAGACAACATGAACATTATTTGCGTAGAATCCGAGATAAAGAGACCCCGCGCGATGAACCCATTAAATTGTTTACGTAATCCCCCCGAAATGTATAATGAATGGTCAATTCGCGGCGACGTGCGAACTGAATGCGTAAACACAAACCGAGCACATGATCATCCAGAGCTGAGGGAATATACATATAAATTTACATACGAGGCATTTAGAGTCGCAATCTTTCATACATTCAAGTTGAGTTTGCAATTAAAACCCAAGGAAGATGACTCAACCCCGCATGACATTGACCCATTAGTCGGAGCTGCATCAGTTGTGCATTTGTTTACTTGTTATTGAAATATTGCAATATTCTGACCCGTTATATCAGTTATTTATATCTAACTAGGATTTCCCAACTCACCTCAGTATATTCGGATGTGAGAGCTTGTTGAGCAGCTGCACCTCCCGCAGCATGTTGGGTCGATTAGCCCGCAACTGATTCATCTTCAGCACCATCACCTCGCCGGTAGTTCGGTGTGTGACCTGGAAAACAGTAACAAAAAAACATTGCCAAAATCAGAAACATGAATTTGTACATATATAGAAACTATAGTAAGCGGCAGATCCATAAATCGTTCTGCCTGTTGCTTCGTGACAACTCAAGAGCAGGCGACGTACGTGTAAATTGGGAGGACACTTGACCAACTAAAATCAGGTATTTTCATTTATTTTTATCGCTTTCCAGGGTCAAGTTCGCTTGGAAAGTTGCAAGGCAAATAATTGCATTGAAACAAGTGAGACAACCGGCAAAGCGGTTTCCATGGATTTGTACAGACCAAATGAAAAATCAATAAACCCGTCTGTCTGCGCGCTTGGACCAATCCAATTGGACGCTGGTCTGGTGGTTAGTTAGAGGGAAAAGCTGTCTGCAATCACAATTAAAATTGTTAATTGAATTTGTCTTGTGAGTGGTTTGGGTTAGGGTGGGGTCTGCCCACCAAGGGGTTAAGGGTTAAGGCCGGAAGGTCCGTGTAATTTCCACGTAGGTGCTGCTGCATCTTCTACACTGACGGAAATTAAGTTTATATTTTAAGCAGGAAAAATACAGGAATTATAGGAATGTTAATAATAATAATTTAATTAGTATTTCTTTTCTAAAATGAGATAACATTTGCTAGCAACAAATCTATAATAAAAACTAGATATTATTTTCCAACTAGCTTAAAGATTAAAGCTAAATCTGTTATGGTTATTCGTAAGTTTTTCTAAAAGGATTTCAAGCTATTTTTTTGTAATCTCGTAGATTTTTTTTATCCTCCCTCTAACTTAGTAATAATAAACACAATTCCTGACTTCATGTTTTGCTATTTCTATGGTCTTGGCTTGAGGACATCCTTTTGATTTAAGAGCGCCTTTTCGCAGTTTAAAATGAGCAACCGACGGTCCGTCTGAGCCGGGATTGCCACTTGGCGCCAGACAACATTATTCACAATTCACTTAAATAAATAGCCCCGAGAGAGGTTGGCAAGACATACACGTATAGCTACGACAATGGCAACTTGTGTTCGTCTTCGTCTCCAGTTTTATTTTTATTCTATTTTTATGCCGCAGTGAAGACAAACAGCAGACACTTCTATTCCTCGGCCGCGAATTTCTCGGCTCTCTGCTAATGGCAGCAAATTAAGTCTCTTTCGAGATCCCAGATCCGCCGATCTTCGCCATGTAGTATGGTATGGTCTGGTGGGTGAGTAAGTTGATATGCTGGCGGGATATGGGTTTGGGCCTGGGTTTGGGTATGGAAATGGGGCCTGGGGACACGTGTGCGTGGGTGACACACACGACGCCGTCGGGTTCCAAGAGTCGTAACCAAGTCATTGTCATTCTTTATTGTCCTGTTGCGCTTTTAGCTCATTTCGGCTTTGTGCTGGCTGCCAGCCGGCCTGCCTGCTGCTGCTGCCTTTGCGTCGGTGTTAACAAATTTATGAAGTTGCTATTGCCAGTTGCCAGTTGCTATTTGCTATTTGCTCACGCCCCGCGGCCAAAGTCCAATTCACGGCGGTCTGCAGTCATGAGTTGTTTACTCCATCCGTCTGGCAATCGAGGAGAGTGGAGAGGAGGTGGAGGAAGGTGCCCCCAAGATTCTTAACTTGGCTCAGAATTCGATTTCCGCTCGGTGTCACTTTATTTTTGGACAGCTCCTCATGTCAGCCGCTCATTTGCTTATCTGCCACTCAAAGAGAGCTTTCAATATACTTATACTTAATATTTCATGTGTGTTTTCCGCAATCAAATCGCCTCATAATGCGGACACACCCAGCCGGATAGAGGCCCCGAGAGTTTATTGAAGTAAGGTAAGTTCCCATTTAAATTGCTATTCATCATATTGATTTTACGGTACGACTTCTATAAGTAGAACGACATTTTTGGATGCTTAGAAATTGCGAGATAGATTAAGGGAAATTCGCTAGGCATTTATGAAGACAATTCTTTGCAATTAAAGCACTTAATGTTGCCGCTGATTCACACAATTAATTTCAAGTTAATTATTGGTTATTTTCAGCAAGTTCCTCATCAGTAAACTTGAAGAATCTCCACTGTATTTCTTTAATTGCCAAATTAATTGTGCGCTGTGCGTGACCAGTAATGCCTAAAAAACACAAACATAATGCTTTGTGTGTTTGCCAAATTGATTTGCATTAAATGTATCCCTCCGACTTACAGAGTGTCACAGCCAAACCCTCGACATCCGTCAAAAGTAGAGACCACTCCCCGTCGAGTGTTTGTCCGGACAATTAAACCATTAAATGCATTTTAGAATGCTTTAGAAGCGCTTAATGAGCGCTGCAGATGAAAAGAGGCAGTTCCAGCAAACTACGTGTATTTATCCAAAAATGTTCGAACCGTCGAACGTTCGTGCCGCGGACAAAGCGAGTGCTCCGACTTCGACCAAAAAGTGGCACGTCCATGTTCCTAGCCTGCCTTCGGCCTGCATCTGTGCCAAAAGAGAGAACTCACCGCTGCATCCAGACACAGTCTGGTGCGGATTGATCTTGTGCTTGGCGGCCGGCTTCAAAGATTCAAAGGGGCCGCCGGAGCTAGCTCTTATTGAAAAGCGTTTAGGCCGGCCGGCAGTGACGTGAGAAAAGAATTGCCGCCGCAAACAACGGACAGCGGCATCGATGGGCTTCCAAAATAATCAATTACCGGCGAAATCCGAAAACGAAGGTGTCCGAAGTGAAAGAAATCTCCAACCCAGATCGTCGTGTGTGGGAAAAGTGAGTTGGGAGTAGCGTAGGTTCTAAAAAGCTTTTCAAATCCCGAGGTTCCCCTTCTCTTCCATCAATTCACACCTTCCATCGGTTCCATCTTATAATTTGACCCCAAATCCAAACGATTGATAAACAATCGGTCAGCGTAAACAAGAAATTACTTATGAAGAATATATATGTATGTATAAGTTTATAAGCCACACACAGTCGTCGAACCATTATGAACTTCTTTGTTCTGTTTGCTTATTTAAAAAGCATGGAAAGGCTTTTAAATATTCGTTTACAGTTTAAATAATGCGCAGATACTCAGAGCCAAGAAGTTCCGCCCGGAAAAACTGTCAATAACAGTGACAGGGGAAGGAAGAGAGAGTGAGTGAAGCCACTCGTTCTGCACATTCAAATGAAACACATGAAATCATTATTACTTAACCAGTTTCAATGGCCAGCTGAGAGGCATCGATGGTTATGTCAACGGGCAGGCAGCATCTCTGCATGCAAACAAATCTCCTGGCTTTAGCCGTAAATACTCGTATTTTCACTTTCAGTTGCAAGGCAAAAATGAAAATAACAGCAATAAAATGGTGGCGGTTGCGGAAACAAAACAACAACGAAAGTTGCCGCACCACCTCGCCGAAAAAAACATCCTTTTTGACCAAAAGGCCAGGCTTTTGGCCGAAACCAGTCGTCGGCGTCGTTGTCGTTGTCCACTTGAAGCGAGAGCCTCACACTGACATTTTAGCCGGCAAAAAAGTGTGGCCAAAAAAAAGTGGGAAAGGAAGCTGAGTTGGTAGTTGAATAAGGAATACCCTTACAGGATATACTACTACAAGTTATCTTCACATATCATAGACAAGAAGAATCTTTCTATTTGGATATTTGGTTCTTTAAAAGCTTAAAGTTATAGTTCTCTTATTTTTACTACAACTATAAGGCTCAAATTTGTGATTACACCACAGCATCTAGGACTTTATATAGCAATTAGCCAGTCATCTCTTCAAATTGATGACTGCAATTAAAATACCCCTGGGTTAGAGTACAAAAAATGCAAACTGTAAGCAGCGGAAAAACCCGCTCGGTTGGGGCCAGGCTGTTACATGTATTTGCTGGCCGAAAAACGCGTTCCAGCCAAACGGACGCGGCGTGGGGCACACGTGTGACATTCGATCCGCGGACTCGATTGCACCGGCTGCTGCCTGCTGATCGGTGATCGGTGAAAATATTCCAGCTATTTCCACGCGGCTGCTGCGTTTCGTTTTGCTGGTTAACAAATACTTAATGCGATTTACAGTTGGGTTTTTTCTTCATTCACCGAAGAGGCAAGCGAAGCCAACCCAGCCTGGTCAATCATCTTTCACATGGCAGCGTGTTGGGGCAACACCAGTTAGCGGTACAATGTCAGCAGTGACAGGAGGAGGAGGAGGAGGAACGGCGACGACGACGACGACAGAGTCTGGCCAAAACGTGTTCTGGCACACTCCGGCGGGGCGCGTTTTTCACGCCGCTGTGCAAACCCAGAAATACGCACGACAAATGTCGGCTAAAACCATGTAAGACAAATATTAGGCGAGAGGTGTTGCTGCCACCAACTTTTCTGGCCATTCCCATTCCCGCAAAGCCAAGAGAAGCAGAAATAGAACCAGCTGGGAGCTGGGAACTGGGAGCTGGCGCAGCTGAGAGTTGAGCGCTCTCTGAGCCGGCTTTTGAATGGAATTTAACCCAGTTTGCTTTCTTCTTACGCGCCGTCTTCATTTCTAGCCAACTGCCTGACTGGCTGCTTTTCAGTTTAGTTGTTTTGGGCGTCAGGGGCCGCTCTAAATGGCCTTTATTGCTATGGTCAGTTATAACGAGCCAATGGAGAGACAGGTGACTTTGTTTGGCTATTTGCATGGCGCACGGAACGGGTTTAATGGGGACTCCAGCCGGGTTGCTGCACGCCACGCGAAAGTCGAGTCCGAGTTCATCATTGCAAATTAAGATGTTCCGTCTTGCCAAAATTAACCCTGACAACGGGATTGACGTATTGTCTTGATATATATTTAGACCTCATCAAGCTCTGACCATTATCGAGGGGGCCATATATAAATAAACCGACGCGTAGCGTTATTGGGATTATAATTTAATGGGTAATCTAATCAGTTAACAGGCGAGTTTTTCGGGCCAATCTTATCGCAAAGCCAGCCAGCAATGGAAAGTTCAAACACCCAAGGGCGTGCCATCATAAAGATGCATCAATGGGAGGATTCGGGTTTCTGGGGAATTAATAAGCCGCCAGGC